TCCAGCAAATCCAAGGTCCCCCGCCGCCTCAACAGCAACAAGAGGTTCCTTATTACTCTCAGCACCACCAGAGTCCCTACAGCACTAACAGTGCACCGAGTAACTACTCGTCCTCAGGTAAGTTTTGTTTTTTTCGTACACAAATCACGACGCGTCTGTCCATGCGCTGTGCGCATTAATGACGTCTCGACTTGGATGCCCCAGTCGTATATCCCGTCAAGCGGAAAATGGAAATCTAACTTTCCCAGAAACCCCAGAGCTCATGGCAGCCGCAACGATGAATCGCGGTGGATATCCACCCATCTCGTACCACACCCCGCAGTCAAACTCACCAGCATCTGTTCAGTCTCCACAGCACGACCAGCACGGCCGCCCAATCTATGGACAACCGCCTAGCCAGATGCCTCAGTCAATGTACTACACGCCATATGCTTCGGCCCCAGTACCTCAACAGTCGCCTTACCAGCAGCACCCTTCAAGTGCGCCTCAGCAACCAATGGCGTCGCAAACACTGCTCATGTCCCACCAGCAGAACCAGCAGATGCATCACCAGCAACAGCAACATCAACAGCAGCATCCTCAGACTCCTGGAATGACTGGAAGTCCAAAGTCGCGAATGTCGCAGACCCCGTTGCAGCGGCCGCCATCAGGGCTTGGCCCGCCACAGGCCCCGCCTCAAGGTCCTCCCGTCGGTACTCCCAACATGCACGCTGGCCCTCCCGGAGGACCCAATGTTAACCCTAATGCTGCGCCTGGTCCCATTCCTGCCACTACTCCGCTTGTTGTGCGACAAGACCAGAACGGTGTACAATGGATCGCGTTTGAGTATTCCCGCGACAGAGTCAAGATGGAGTACACCATTCGTTGCGACGTAGAGTCTATCAACGTTGACGAGCTCCCGCAAGACTTCAAGACTGAGAACTGTGTATACCCGCGCGCTTGCTGCGCCAAAGACCAGTACAAGGGCAACCGCCTTCACTACGAGACTGAGTGCAACACCGTGGGTTGGGCACTAGCGCAACTGAACCCATGCTTGCGCGGTAAGCGTGGGCTCATCCAGCGAGCCGTCGACAGCTGGAGGAACAGCAACCAAGATCCTCGATTGAGGAGCCGACGTGTACGAAGAATGGCCAAGATGACCACGAGGAAAGCCCAATCGGCTTCACATGGTAACCACATGGCTGGACCAGGTGGACCAGGTGCTCCCGGTGTTCCAAACTCTGCCGGATTAGCAGCACCACCCCGACAACCGAACATGGGCATGGGCGGTCCCCAGATGCATCATCACCATGACGGACCTGGAGGGCCCCACGGAGGACCGGATGATGTTAGCGGTATGTTTCACCAGATGTGATGTGATAAAGCGCGATTGTTGGCCTGTTAAATGATACCTCTTGTCGTTCTTTCTACATGTACATTACACACTCCTTGATGTAATACCCCCTTCGATACCACTGCCCATGCATGTTTGCAGATATACCCACACTCTATAGTTACACATTTGGTTCAGCGCAGGATGGCAAGTCGAGTCATGTTCGGACGTGCAAGCTAACTTTCTTTGTGTACAGCCAATGACTACGGTGAATCGCACACTCATCATCACCAAGCGCCAAACGGGCAACAGTCACCTACCGACGGGCGTCCCGCTCAGAACTTTTACCCGAATTTCCCATCGAGCGACTCCGTGGCAGGATCCAGTGGCATGCCGCCGATCCACGACGGATTGGGCCACCCTCCGCCTCCATCACACGCAGCAGGCGTACCGGTCTCAAAGCAGCAAGAGCAAGACGAAGAAGAGCGAAAGCTAGCCATGTTCGGCGACTTACCTGACTCGAAGCGCCGCAAGTTCATTCTTGTAGACGACGCGCAACGAGGAACTAGGGTTCGTGTGCGAGTTACTCTCGACACCGTCAAGATGGAGGAGATGCCCGACTCTTATCGCAAGTCAAACTCAGTCTTCCCTCGCAGCTACTTTGCTATGCAAATGACTTCTCCACCTGCCAGCCCTCGTGGCAGCAAGGTCTTCGCTGATGAACCCGACGTGGAAAGCGATCCCAGCTTTCCTCTCGCTGGTTCTACTGTTGTTCCTGTCCCAACTCTCGATGGCGAGACTCGTGTACCGAAGCCGCGTCTCACGAGGGCGAAGCGGTCGAAGGAAATTACGCTCAACGATCTTGGTTACCGCATGAGTTGGAGCCAGAGCCGTGTCTTCGCAGGCAGGACATTGTTTCTGCAAAAGTCTCGTAAGTGAATGCCTTTGGCACAATCAAGAGCAACCGACTAACCTTCAACAGTTGATGCCTACCGCAATAAGATGCGAAGCAGCATGATGGGTCAAGGCCAAGATGTGACCCAAGTAGCGCCACATTTCGAGACCCGTGTTGGAAAGAGACGGTGGAACGAAAGAATCGAGAAGAGCAAGAAGGCGAGGCGCGATGGCTCTCCTTAAGAAGTCTCAGGCCACATGCTCCAAACGGATGCCCTGGTTGCAGGCAGCCGCCCCGTTGACCCACTTTCTCGGCACTTGCAGGGAGCCCCTACGAACGACCGGGGTCAACAACCCTTTTTCGACACAGTACCAAATCCTTCGCAACAGGCCCGGCTGTTGCTTACACCCATGTTTCATCATGGCTGTATTGGGTTTCAGGCTGTCGTCGTCCATCTGCCGATGACTGTTTCTCTCTTTTCGATACATCTCGACCACGCACCGCCGTCTAGAGCACTCGAGTAGTGCCTTTGATACCCGTCTGCAAGTTATGATCTCTTGCGACATGCTCGGTCGGTTTTCGGTCTGTCTTTTCCTCTCTGTTTATAGCCTGTTGATCGGTAAGCTTTTGTATGAACGGATTCAGGCGCTTGTGGGAAAAAGAGACATGGAAGCATTTGAAAAGCATGACTCAGGACGCCGTTTATGGCATGAGGAAGGAGTCTTGTTGGTTATGATTGTGTCTTCGGAATATGTTTATATTGCGCTTGCTTTGTTAGTATTTGGTAGATGGGCTAGCTGTTGCTACCCTGGACGTATAATAGACACTTCAAAAACAAACATATGCAGCCTGTGATTAAGTGATTTTGGTGGGATTGTGTTCCATAGCCCGGTAAAACTTGAAATTTAATTACCCATCGTGCAACGGGCGTCGTGTATCAAGATTTCCGGAGCATCCATCCCAAATCCAGACACCCAAGCAGTTCGCCTGTGATCCTTCCAAAGCACCGAACGCAAAAGAGAACCCACACGAACGGTCCGTCAGCCACTCACGATCAAGTTACAGCGGCACGGCACGCAAGCCCTTCCATGCAATGGTTAACGTGATATTGCCCGAGATAAAAAATTATGAATGTGTCGTTCGATGTGGTTCACTTGTCAAGGGGGTATCCCTCCCCCAGACGTTCGCAAATGCGGCAGGCGGACAGTGACAAGCCGGGAGAGCCTGGTCTCGCGTGGCTGAATACCACGCATGTCGACGCGTTATGTGCCTGGTGCCTGACTACTGCCGTTGTAAGAACATGGGTTTATTGCTTTTCGAGTGGGTAAGGGTGTGGGTAAGGAGGGTGCAGGGCCCGAGTGTCAAGATCAGGGACGCAGCGCAATGTTGTGCAACGCGACGGTGTTGGGTGTGGTAGTATAGGCTGTTTGCGGATTGGTTTGGTGGTAGCGGACGTTGGCGTTGGCGTCAACTGGTTGGGGTCCACAAACTGTTGTGGCACGCGAGACGAGGTACGCGCGGAAAGCCAAACCGAACTCGTAAATCGGTGCTAGTCTGACAGATGCCCCCCCCTAGAGCTGAAAAATATTCCCCGAAGTTGCAGCGATGGAGCTTGGAGGGTAAGATGACAGCATGCGGGATTAGCCTAGTTGCTTTGACAAAACTAATACAGACCTCGTGGGCATGAAGATGACATGTATCCCATCCCTTCGCGCTGACTCCCAAGGCTTTTTGGCGTCGTGTGAAACATGTTATCCTCCGTCTTAAATTCCGTCTTCTCTACGTATAAGACTTTTTCCTTCGGCAACTTCCACCGTTGTTGCATACCAAGGTAGCATTCCCATGCATCGAACGATTCCGCGGCCCCGACACCACCACACCACACCGCACCAAACCAAGAGAAGAACCGAACTCCCAAGATCTCTAGCTAATTAATCGAACCAAACCTAATACTACTACTAGCTCCTTCGGACAATCAAAGTCAGCCAGTCACAGTACTAAAGCCACAAGATCACGCTAACACACCTGTTTGTTAACGTCCGGCGAGAACATCACAGACCGTTGGCACTTAGCACCGCACCGTTGAGATCACTATTCTTGTTTCTAGTTTTAGCTTGTCTTTGCACTTATACGTGACTAACCATTTTGTTCTTTATGCGCGTCAAGCCGTTGACGAGGCTGGTGTGGTTGGTTCGTGAGCTAAGAGCTAGTTGGTCTTATTAGGTTATTGCGGGGCGCGAGCTTCGTCTACCAGAAGAGGAACGTTCTCGACCTGACGAGAGATGAAGATTGCCGCCCCATTTCCCAAACCTTGCGTACTAGACATGTGGGAAGCAGGCAATATTAGTAAAACTAAAACCGAGAGCTGCGGGGAGTTTGCAGGATGCGAACACGACGTCACAAAGGGCACGCGACAGGATATGCTTTCAAGTTCGGCGCCTAGTCGTAGCCGTCAAGTGCTTAAAGGCCGAGGGAGTGGAGAAGAGATGCATGAATGGCTACCGAACTAGTATGTTACCCCGACTCCGATGTTTACGCGCGTTACAGCTTATGATCGGCTTCTTGTAAGGAGATAAGGATTTTCGATTCTTAGACCAACAGTAAGATTCCAAATAGGCACAGATCGTACGTCGACTCCGTAGATGTAAGCAAAGAATGCAATGTTCAAGTCTCTCGTCCTGTGCATAAAGTCCTTGCGAAGCTAGAATAAATTCAACGCTAACCTAAATTCCTCCCATGTGTCCCCCCATTGTCATTCACTCACTCCACTGTACAGGACTGTGCTATGGTATCTCAGTCGCGCTCACTACACGTGCGCGATTGCCACCGCCCATCTTTCTTGATTTCATAAGATTCTGCCTGTCCTGCTCTTGCGTCAGTCTCAATCTTTCCAAGTCTGCCTCATGCACAATTAACCCATCGATGATGCTGTACTTACTGATATCCGGGTCATCGTCATCGTCGTCTTCATCTTGTACTAACGGACGATTAGGGCGCAACTTGGCGAGGTTCCTATCGCCGTTGATGCGAGAGTGAGTCCAAGAGTTCCATCCCGCGCCGTGCTTTGTGCTTTGTACCGCTATAGTGCTCTCAGTATCTGAAAGGTCGGCCAGCATCCCCACATTCTCTGCAGTGATGCCCTGGTCTTCTGTGTTGTTAGGAGCGGGTGTGATGGACATGCTCCTCATGCTGCCTCTAAGTTGCTCAACTACGCCAGTTTCAGGCGCTTCGTAACCATTTGCTTCGTCAACGGCGATGTCGTTACGAATTCTCAATTCGATTTCGCTGAGTTGGGATATCTTCGCTGAGGCGTCAAGTTTGGCCTTGCGAGGGGAGCGTGAGACTGGCACTGCTCGTGTGGTGGCTATGGGCTTCGTGGGCGTCTTTGACGCAGGTGTCGGTGCGGTTGGTGGAGACAGCTGAGACTTCGTGATAGATGCGTGCTGTGGTTGATTTGGCAACGAGAGTGCTGCTTGGTTGCCGACCTCAGGTTTCGGTCTTGACGTGGGCTGGAAGCCGTACCCGTTCTTGCCTTTGCTGAACACGCTTTTTGAGGCCATGGCCGGCGGCGGCGGTGGAGGAAACTTGGTCTTCTTTGTCACTGGCCCAAATTTCTCCGCATTGCCCTTCACGCTCTTGCACAACTCTTCTACAATAATGGGAGACCTAGGCTCATCGTCTTCAGATGGCGGGGTATAGTCACTTTCATCGCTACTTACGTCGATTACCTTTCGCTTTCGTCTACCCGAGCGCAAAGATGAGACAGAAGTTCGAGGTGTAGCTGACAAGTCACATTGACTCTGTGTTATGCTGGAGGCACGATACGTTGAAGCTGAAGCTTGTGAGCCAGCACGCACATTTCTAGCAGCCGGCATGCTGTCCTTCGTGACGCTGGCTGAAAAGTCAGGTCTTCTGAAGCTTGTGTTCTTAGGAGCCATGAAACTTCGAGGTAGTGCGTCGGGAGTGTGAGAGGACCGTCCAGGTGGTAGAGGCATATTGGAGATGTACTGTTGTGGCCTTGGTGGAGCTATGCGATTATCAGCTACAGAATGAGATGTGGAGCAAAGTACAACTTACTTCGGGGAGGTTCATGCATCAATTTGTCTTCAGCACTTGGCTCCAGTGGCTGGGAAATAGGCTTGCCCTCGTGCTCATCTTGTGAAGGTGCAACTGAGCCCTTCAAAGTGTCAGCGTCATCCAGCGGAAGCCTGTGGAATGCCGACTCTTGAGGCATCAGTGGCTGGCCTTGTCTGTAGTCCACGCTTTGCTGCGATCGCAAACTGCCAGACTGACGAGGTAGAGGAGGTCTTGATGGAGCCAAGCCGCTCGACAATTGTACGCCCTCTGAAGCAGAAATCGTGGGAGTAGCCCATGTAGAAACGGCTGAAAACGTACATGCAGAAGTGCTATCCAAAGTTCTCGAGACTGGAGCTCCGAGTGTCCAGGCACTGCCTTGAAGAGACTTTTGCGTCTGAGTAGCTGGCATGTGTAACCCATTCGCTGAAACCCAACGACCAAAGCCACCCCCTTTAGGTATTGAGCTGTGCTGTGTCGAAAGAGCAGCGATCGAAGCATCATGTGAAGCAATGGGCGAGGGTTTAACTAGATTTGGGGGCTGGGAAGCGGAGAGGTTTTGTTCACGCTTGAATTGCGGTAGCTCTGGCGTGCCCTTGACAGATTAGCATTATTTCTAAATGTCTTCGCTATTTGCTAAGTTACCTGTTTTGCGCTTTTGCCAAACAACTCGAGACTCGCAGACGGAATAGCATGCTCTCGCTTTACAGCTCCCTCGATAATATCGCTCTTTTGGGATTCCAATACCGGGTCTTTCGCAATTGGTGGTGGGGCCAGCTTCGTCTGTTCCTTTACCGGTTCATCTTCATCGGAACAAAGATCAATAATTGTGACCGCAGCACTTCTCTTCTTGCTTTGACGTGCTTGAGTCTTTGTGTTGTATGCTGGCGTAGGTGTAGAAGTCTGAGGCGCTTTCGAGGTCACCGCTTGCGTCCGTTTGGGTTCAGGAGTAGCCTTTCGAGTTGGTGATGCAGCTTGCTGACGATTGTTTCGACCTTGAGTCCCCGTCTTAGACGCTGCAGACTTGTTCGCACTCTTGCTCTTGTCTTTACTTGCCGCCCGCGCCTTAGTCCAAAATTCTTCTTCCTCCTTCTTGTGTTTGGCAAGAAGCTCCGCTTTTGCCTTGTTTATATTCTGTAGGACTGTCTCGTACGCTTGCTTAGATTTTTGTTGGAAATCATATAGTTCGGCATTGTGTTTTTGTCGAAAGGCGAACCACAGTTCCTCTGATGGCTCGACGTTGGTCTGTATCGGTGGCATGCTGAGAGCTTTAGCACGTCGTAACTGAGGTAGGGATGCTCGGTAAAGGTGAGGGAAGAGATTTTGTCACACCCAGAAGATGGTATCTAACTAGAGTGGTGATACTTCGAGTGGGGTGAAGACGGGGTGAAGGTGAGTAAAGTGTTTGCGCTTTTGAAATGAAAAGCAGGTAAAGGCAGAATCTCTAGTGAGCATAGATTGGAAAATGCGTAGGTAAAGGTCAGACAGGTTCTCTGTTCATTCAGGTATAGTGTATTGAGGAAAAATAAACAGACTGAGACACAAACGACAAGCAACCTCCCTTCCTCAAGCAGCTACCCGCAACCGAGGGCGCGATGTAGAAAGAGAGCTCTTTCGCGATATAAACTTGATCGTGAAGTGCTGAATCCATTGTGTGTGTATACCCCGACGTCCAGTTCTGTGACATGAATCATCTGATTCTCCACGAAAACGATCCAGACGTGTCTACGTAGCTCTGCAGGTAGGCATTATTTGTGTGCTCGCATGCCTGGTACGTAGACCTCCAGCTGGGTCAATCTATTGTGCCTTGTATGTCATTGTCTCAGATCAGAAATGCTTCGTTGCGAATCATTTCTGATCTGAGACAGTTGAGCATCAGGCTCGGGAAGACGGCTCGCGTTACCTCTGTTGAAAGCTATCGGGGTCGCGGCAGTTCGAGCTTGCGTTCGCGTCATCCGCTTTGTCTCGAAGTGAAAGCTGAGCCCAATGGTCGTCTCCAAACTTGATTTGGTAATTTGGCGTTGCCTCCTATTCCTTCATAGATACTTCTTCGCCGCTGTCGCAACCCTCTGCCTGAATACCGGACTCTTGATGACCTCCCCATTGCCGACGGCAAAGAACGGGTTCATGATAGTCTTGACCCACGCCTCATATACGTCGACCATGAAGTTCTTGACGGCCTCTTCCGTGGCTGGACTACTAGGATTGTACAGACCAGCGCCTCCTCCCAGTGCAGCCCTTCCGCCTGCAAGACTCCCTCTCGCGCCTCCAGCACCTCCGCTGGTCAGTCCTAGACTTTCATCCCGTGGTCGTGTAAGCAGAAGGAAGCGCGTGTTGCCGCCGGTAATCCAACACGATACAAAGCAGTTCTGATATTTGTCGATGTGTTTGAGGTACATGGGTGCTGAGCCGCTGGAGGTAGAAGGACCCCATTGCACTTCTTCGACGATGTCTAGTGACGAGTGTAGGATAAATGGGACGAGAGCGCGCTCAGCAGGTGTGTAGTTCGCAACGCCAGTGCCGCCGCTGCGTGAGGTGCCGAAGTCGTGCGTAAAAAGAGGGACATCGAGGGGCGATAGGATGGAGAATGTGTACGACATGGTGTGGTGTTAGGGTGGAGGTTGGTGTGCGTAGGGAGCGCCGGGCATGCGTGGTGTGAGAAGAGCCGACGATGGGTGACTCAATCGGCGATAGTCTTCTTGGCTCGTACGAACGTCCAAGAAGAAGTCACGGGAAGTCGTAGTTTGTATGGTCGCGAGTTTGTGTTTAGGGTTTAGCTATGCAACGTGTGGGGTGTTGGTGAGCTTCCCCACGCTAATCGGCATATCCGCCAAGAAAGTCCGCGGGAGTGTCTTTGGAAGAATATCGCGACTTCAATTGCGGCCGTCCAGCACCGCCAACCACAACACATCACCATGTTTGGTCCTTTCCGCCTCACAAACCCGCTATCGGGAGGCCTGTTATGGTGCGACTCCCTGCATCTCCCTTGATACTCACTCGCGCAGTTGCTCGTTTTCGCCCTCACGTTTTCAATGCCTATGCATTCTTTACTGTCGCCAGCTCGCTATCTGGACATGAATGCTGACAAGACTACAGGAAGATACCATGGCGCCTCTCTAGACACCAGAAGTACAGACATCGCGAGCGTTTACGACACGTCGACTCCGTGGTCGGCACACTCGATACCGCACTACGACGCATGGGGCAGAGCATGAAGAAGGTGGAGCGCTGGAAGATGGAGATGCCGACTGAGCAGGAGATGCTGCCCAAGGATAAATACACCGTCTTCGACCGCAAAGTGAAGAGGTATCGGAAGGGAATCCACAGTAAGTCGCATACTGTCAGCGCACGAGAATCCGCCTTTTTTATAGCGGAAAGAGTGTACGAAAATCTGGCTTCGGTATGGTGGCTGACATTTCGCAGAGGTGCCAAAGTGGACAAGGGTCAGCCAACGACTCAATCCTCCGGGTTTTTAGACGGACCCTACGGTGAGCGACGGTCGCGCGTGTGTATACCATGTATTATCATACAATTTGCATCAGATACGGCGCCATGGAAAGAAAGCAACGAATATTCCCCAAATATGCACTGAGAATTGCATGCGCATTGAGTGCAAACAGATACTTGCATTGAAATTCGCCGACAGAAGGCTGCTCATTAAAACAATTACCGTGGCTGTCCTCTACTTGGTAGGAAGCTGCGGTGGGAGTTAGCCGTGACGTTCATGTTTGACAATTAGCGGGCAAGCAACTGATGCTCTATGTGACAGGATCCCGTGACTTAAACGACGTCAACGACTTGTACATCAATTTGCACATGTATCGCCCATGCACGCTACCGCGAAGGTTCACAGAGACTATCAACCTGCTAAACTGAGACCAGTACACTCTCAATTACTAAGCGTCGTGCTGTATTATAGTACATGTCTTTTTATCCCCAGATAACAATACTTATCAGCCTAAAACAACATTCCGAGTTCATTGGAGTCAAAGCCCATACCCTCGAACCCAAGACCCTGAGCATTCCATCCCATATCAAGAGGCAAGAAGCCGTTCCACAATGCTGCATCATCTGTAGGCGCATTACCCCCACCACCGTGTACTGCAAATTCATTAACAGCCCCTAGATCAGTCCATCCGAAATCTCCCATTTGCTCCGTAAGCGCCGGACTCTCACCCGTGCCATTGCTACTTGCCTGTGGGCTAGCGCCAACGATCGGATGCTGTGGAAAGCCATTCTGATCAACAGGATTACTAGCGATATGCGTGCCAGGGTGGCGGAACGAAGAGCGACTAGCCTTGTCTTTCTTTGGCACTTTTGCCCAGAGCAGTTTGAGGAGCTGAGAGTACCGGGAGCCTGGATGCTGGATACCAGCTCCGACCCCGACAGCGCTACGTTCGAGGCGTGCGACTGTTTCATTGATCATGGCGCGGATGGCGCGATCTTCATCGGCGCTGATGACGCCTGTACAGCGGGCGCGATAGAGGAAGACACCTGCGTATACGAGGTAGAGATAGTACCTCAATGGCATGAAACGTAGCGAACGCTCGGGATCGACAAAGTTGTTCACGGTAGTGAGAATGGCTTTTGCGGCGTCAAGGCCTTCGTAGATGAAACGCGCATCGCCTACTGCGCCTACGTTGTTTACAAAGACGCGTTGGGGAACTTGCACACGACCTGTTGTGTTGTTGGCTGGAGCGCCGGCTACGGGGTCGGTTGATGTAGATGAAGAGGGCAATGCTCGGAGGACGGTGGCCTGAAAGGCGAAGGCGTTGGTGTATAAACGCAGGTAGTCGTACGACATAAGAAGACATGCTTTGAGCGGCGGAGAGCACGTCAGTGTACCCCATACACTCTTCCAGCCGTATATTGCAGAGCGGAAATCATCAATAAACTTGATGTAGCTACCACTCATCTGCGATCGAAAGCTCGAACTGGGATTCGAGTACAAAGTATCGTGTACATTGCTGAATAGTTGTGTGAGTTCGAGGTTCGCTTGAAAGATGGAAGCATGGTCTTCTTCGTTGGGGCTTTTGGGTATTAGCGACGGATAGTCCTCTCTGCGTAATGTTGTCAAAGGTCCAGGTCCACGAGACCAGAAAGCTTTCCCGATTCTGATGCTGATATGGCGATCTGACACATACGCCGCTGTCCAAATGAGGCGTTTGCGGTGATGATCTGGATCCTTGCCCTGGTCCACAAAGCGGAACGAGTACCGGTCTAGAGCAAGAAAGTAGGCAATCCTCAGGGCGAGACCAACATGCATCCAGCTCTCCTTATCTTCCTCTCCTTTACCGACCTTGCCAGAGCCACGCTGTGTATACGGCGCCCACTCAGCTAGCAGAAGTAGGGCCTCTACAGCTTCGATACCCGCATCGCCTCCTGCTGCCAGCATTGAGACAAGGCTCTTCATATGTTCTGAGCAAGCTTCGTAGATGTGTGGTTCATCTACGAGGTCTTTGGAAGCGATGAGCAGGATAGCCGTGAGGAGGTGTTTCTCATTGTTCACCATGTGTGAGAGGTTGGATGTTTCGAATGCGTGCGCCGGTGCAAGCGGGTAATATGGATGGTATTGCTGTTGAAAGCGAACGAGCAGCTGGCATAGAGAGTGAACTGTGAGAATCCCCCGGTCTAGCAACGGGTACGAGAAGGACAGTGGCGCGGGCATGCTGAGAGAGGAGCCTCGCACATGTCCTATGCTGCTGGTGATTCCACTCCCATTATTTTCTTCATTCGAGCTCGACTCTCCAGCAACTCTAGCCAGTATGCCCAGCGCATCTGACGGGTTCTGCAGATTTGAGAACGGAAGCTCATCTGTGTTAGAAGAGTCGGAACGCGATGCTTGTAGCTCTTCGCCAAACGGTTGTACGCCTGGGTCTTGCGACCATGTCGTTCCGAGATTGCCCAGCGTATGGAAGCTTCCCTCGGGCGCAGTCGCAGTAAGCGCAGGTAGTGGCTGCTGCGTTTGCGCTTCTGACTGCGATTGTGATTCATCGACGCGTTTCTTTTTTCGCTCGCGCCGTCCACCGCGATTGCTGCCACCAAGCACGCATTCGAGGTTGTCGCGCTTGCATCGAAGGCACGGTATGGAGTTGTCCGAGTCTCTACAAAGCCACGTTAGAAGACATTTACAAGACACAAGGATTTAGACATGTTCATGCGTCGCATGTCGCATTGTGATCCGCTGCATGTCGCGTTCGAAAATGCTCACGCGCAAACTTCAGTCCCCAAGCGAGCTCCAAATTGCCGACGCGCGCAGACAAACAAGACGCCGTCAATCACTTACAGCAAACACCGACTCTTCCGCTTCCTGCAATTCAAACACGCGATTTGTGTCCTTTTGATCTTTGAAGCTTCATCTTCATCCTGGTTGGCGGCCTGCTTTGCGCCGGCAGGCTGTTGTGGGGCATTTGTTTCCATGCCTCATCTCGAAGCAATGGGTGGTGTCGGTGTTTGAAGCTGTCGGTCGGGAATTGTGGGCACTTGAGAAAACGCGGGGGCGGTAACGTTGGCATCGGGTATTGCTTACGTCGGGCCGAAGACACGAGCGCACTTTTCAAGGTTGTTCCAAGCAGAGTCACAGCAGGAATGTATCATGGCCCAGACGATCCTCAAAGGCGTGGGCGGATGTGATCGTCATGGTATTTGATGTCATTTTGGGGATCTCGTCGGTCGGGTAAAGCTATGGATGGGATTGTGCGGTGCCAGCCCCTGACCCAACCACATCTGCTCAGTGACATGTATTTCCCCACCTCGACCGTAAAATCCTTCAATTTTTGACCCGACCGTCAACATTGACACCATTGATGTCGCGTGAGCATTTGCAGATTTTCGAATCATGCTGTCGTGTGAAACTTTTCACATCGAGTATATATTGTACGGTTTCGTCCCATCATTCATCAAACAGGGCTCGTTGGTGTAGTTGGTTATCACGTCAGTCTAACAGAGCGCTTCACAGCACTCCTTAGCACACTGAAGGTCCGGAGTTCAAACCTCCGATGAGTCATTCATCGGCGTTCGCAAGAGCGCATCCCTCCTTTTTTTTTGATCTTTGCTGTGCTGCGGACACTAACCAGATCGAGGGAACACTTATCGAATCAGAACCTGAACGTTCATGATGCTAGTTGCGAGGCGGTGTAGTCTTTTTTTTGCCATGTTCGGCCGGTTGCGGGAACATCACCACCAAGTGTGCTCCGGGGAGACATGAGCAGGAATGATACCTAGGTAGCTTCTGAAAGTCAGGAACTACAAGATTTGCTGACACAAGGCTATCGAGGGCAATATTCGCTACATGTGCAACCTTTATGTGGCGTATGAGACTTTCGACACAAAAAGGGTTATCATAGGTCGACCGACGGTTTTACTCAAGTCAGCAAATCATGGCTGTGAACTTTGGACTACTCTGCTAGCCAGCACTTGATGTGCCCATAGGCGATACTCTCACCACTCAGGCTACATCGATTCTTGTGGAACCAAGCTTTTTGCATCACTGACCATGCTGTAAGTCGGGCTAAGCCCTACGACAGCGGTCCACCAACGATTCATGTAACGTCTCCACCCTGGTACCTTTCAGTCAGTTGGATCGCAACACGGATGCACGTCTTGCGCCAGACCGATTATATGCGGCTCAACGTCATCTAGCCACGTAGAGCTTTGAACCAAAGCTATGGCTAGGGAGTGCCTGCCAAGCTGCGCTCATGCTCAGCGGGTGCACGCACCTGGTATGACCTCACAACAACACTGTGTACAAATCTCAACCTATGTGACATACTATCGCCATTGCAATAGAACAAGATGATCTTAGAACGACGTGAAACGGCTTTGGAAGATCTCGTCATCACCGGATGTTGCACTCAGCAGAATACGGCTCTACTCGGCTTGGTGCGGCAGTAGGTGACACTATAGGGATAACCTTGTGGAATACTCGAAAACACCCGGTGGTAATGAATTGGTAGGCGATCAAAGTAAGTAGCCGGGTGAGTAATAAGTCTGCAAGCAATTGCTAATCACTCACGTACGAGTTGTCATTTACATCGCTGTTGGATGGACTGATTCGTCTACTATCACTGCTTAGTAGATGTATACAGTACCATAGCCTTATAGTCTCATAAGATCTATCTCAGTCACATTTCGTTGTCTATTTCCCCTATATCTGTATGATCAACATCGTTCTACCAACGGAAACACAAACCAACCAGCTACTTCAACAAAAGGTACGATTGAGTGAACTTTCAAAAGGTATCGAGCCTTCTCTGATACAACCGACTGTAGACCATGGCTTCCGATCCTCTACCGCGATTACATCGCTTCATCGAGTTCATCAACTCAGGCAACACAGACATCGGCAAAGAAGTCATATCAGACTCGGCTATCTTCCATGTACCATTCAGTCCTGAATCCCTCAAAGGTTTAGATGGCTATCTCAGAATTCTCGGGATGATGCGTGGCGCGTTCCCAGATATTAACTGGACACTACAAGAAACTGTATGCGAAGGTGATAAGATAGTTGCACGTTTTGAAACCCGGGGCACGCACCAGGGTCCTTTCATGGGTGTCCCCGCATCTGGAAAGGAGATATGTATGACTGCTCTCAACATCTACTGTTTTGAAAACGGTAAGATCGTGGAGGAGAGGGGACAGCCGGATATTTTTGGGTTAATGGTTCAAATTGGCGCTATCCCTGTGCCAGGGCCTTGATATCCTGTACTCAAGTGCATAGATAAATCATAAATCCACCCACCTCGTTGAGCCTAAAGATATCTTAATTATTTGATACAGGATGCGGTGGTCGTGATATGGAATACTGTGCTGGAGGCAGAGGCAATATCACGATAGCCACAATGTTCAATGGATAGTGATTAGCATCACGCAGCATGGCGGTATTGTAGTGTGAGTAGTGGTATTTCAATATGTACTCTTCGCGACGACATGACCGTCATCGCGGTAGCAAGGAGATTAGTGGTCTGTTATGTAATGCAGCGATAGCATCGCGTGCGCCCCTTCCTTGATGCAAACCCGAATATATGCAAGCAATCTTACTCAAGTTGATCCGATGCAACGAGCTTTTCCCTATCCTGATACGCCAATGCTAAGCAGAAACAAAAGAAACAACAAATGATGGACAAACAACATGCAAGAACTAAACGGTGCTTCGTCATGGAAACTTCATCGCTCATAATTTCATCAAGCTTACGCGACGTAAGCAGGCGGTGCCTCAATCTCGTCATCGTTCTGCCAGAAGCCTCCTGTGGGCGCAGTCTTCGTCCTGGCGTGCGAAGGCCGGCGAGACGACCGGTCCTTTTCCTCTTGAACCTTTCTTGCAATCTCCTGCGCCATCTTTGTCATCCAGGCTTGTTCAAGGATGCCACCGGAGCTGGCCATGACGTCAGCGTTGGGTGGTGAAGAAGTGCGCGGTGGCGAGCATAGAGCTGAGAGCGAGGAGACCTTGTCAAACGACAGGGAGCGTAGGAGTGGCGAGGTGGACTGCTGTGCTTGCCGTAACTTATTACGCGAAATCGGGGGGCGTCTGGAAGATGAGTGGGATATGAATGGGTCTTCGAGGTGAGCGGCTGGTGGGGTGGTTTGCTTCGATTTGGTGGGCTTGGGTGGCTTGGGTGCATCTGAAAGATCTGGTGCAGGGGCAAGAAGAGGGCCGAAAGCAGGCGGCTCTTCAGGTATCCGCTTCGGTGTACCAATGTCCAGACTGCCACGCCGGCTCTCGAAGCGCATGCCAGGTTGGGCGGGGCTCCTCGGTGGGGTAGCCAACTCTTCCTCTGCTTCCCTCTCTTCGGGGATGACGCTTGACGTCTCAGATGCGTACGCACTTGGTAATGGTGTATTGGCTCCAGTTGACACGCCAGAATCAACGTCCTCCTTCTTGCGCAGATCAACAACACGCTTCTTTCGTTTCCGCATGCCACCAGTGCGAGAGCGACTTGAGCCTAGACTGAGCCCCGAAGGAGTCGAGTATGCCGATGCCATGGTAGGCCGTGAGCTGTGTGTATCATTGCCTGTTGAGCCGGACGCAACCGACGACGCGCCAGACTTGAGGCTGCCAAAGGTCGACTGTATCCTCGATAGGCTACCTTGTGTGAGTGCTGGCGTAGCAGCACCAGACTCGGGTCTGTCTGGGTGACCTGCCCATGCTCTGAAGACGGCATCGCGTATGCCGGGTGTGAAGAGGGACAGCGTTCGTTGCGATTCGGACAGGGCGGCTAGGCGGAGGATGTTCTTCTGGGAGAAGGAGGCGTGGATTTCGCCAGAGTCGAGCGACAAGGCGGAAATTTGGGCTTCGTCTAATGGGTTCCCGAAGGCATCGACAGCATCTTGTGGTGGCGATGCGAGAGGGTCGATGGCTGCAGTTGTATCGTTAGCGCCTTCCAGCCGCTCTTCTGTCTCGATCTCTTGGTACTCGGGCGACAGCATGCGTAGTGATAGCCTATGAATGATAGCCGGCAAGTCTTCCATGAACAAGACACGCAATTGCCCTTCAATCTCCTTCTGCAGGTAGTCACGCACGAATGGGATGGAATCAAATGTCGAGGAGACCTTGAGCGACTCCAAAGGGTCGTTCCTGAAGACCAGCGTCAAGCCCTTTTGTTTGGAAAAGACCAGGATGACAAAGCCGGAGAGGCGGATGTTGGACAGAGTGATTTGCAATGGTATAGTCAAGCCGGACGATGCTGCCAGTGGCTGTGGTGAAGCAAAGTCTGGCTTGTTGGAGAGATACGTCTTCAGCGGGTTTGCCTGAACTTTTGTTTTCAGCGTCAGGAACGCGTCGCCGGCATACGACATCTTGAAGATGCCCCTGAACCTGTCCTCGGCCAAGTCACCAATCTCTAGTATCTCGAGCTCTGGCGGGGTGGTGCCGAGATTCAGCTCGGTGACGATGATGTCGTCGACGATGATGGGCGGCTTGGGGGATTTGTTCAGGGCGGTGGTGAGCATGTCGCGCGCCCTCGACGTGTCGGCAATGAGCGGCGACCAGTTGAAGTTGAAGGCCATGGTGATGGGTTGGTGCGCTCAGTGAGCGGTGCGTGGAGCGTCGACGTCGTTACCGCGCGGGTGGTGGTGGGGATTGGCAGATGATGCTGCTGTCGCGTGCATTCGCCATGCGATCACACGAGGCACGATTGCAGAGGGGTTGGGGCGTATTTGCGAGGGAATGGGTGGGGAAACAGGTGGGCAGTGAATATTTCGGGCGGTGTGGGCGCGGTATTGTATGGCTGCACTCGTGGTGGAGTGAGAGTGGGAGAGGCACATGCGGCACTCGAGGGGATTTTCCGGGTGAAAGGTACCGACGTCAAGGATGATGCTTCTCGCCTGCCGCCAACTTTTTACACAACCGCACTTCGGCCGTGCGCTTTCCACCACCCACCCTCGGATCGGCTTAGCCTACCTGGACACGACGACTGGCGGTGAAGAGCCTGGAGCCGTTGTATGCAAGTATGCGTTACAGACTAGCTTCCCATGGCCGTTGATTCGCTGCGACGTCTACATTCTCGATCGACAGTTTCAAGAAGCCCTACGCCTAGCCACATGTCAACATAATATGCTTCTATTCGCTGTCGTTTAGCTGTCGTCGACTAATTTCCCCATTATCGCTATAGCCCAGCTACCCCAGCATTCCCGCAACGTCGAGCCGAATGTAGCCAATAATAGCAGAGGCTGCTTGTTTGAATCATCATCCGAGCTTTGGCTGGCAGATCTGCCGTTGGCGCGCGTACATCATCTGTGGTCGTGAAATTTGTTTTCATGCGCATCCGTTGTCGCTATCGTAAAGGGTGGTACACGTGGATGACATGGCAACTGAGACACCTCACTCCTCCCTGTCACGCGCGACATGATACTCGGCCCATTACAACGCTGCATCTTGGTCCTCCTTGAGCAGCTTCTCCACTGCCTCAACTTTATCCTTGAATCCCTGCTTTTTGTCCGTCCTGCTCCCCACCCTGATATCACTCTGGATCCTCACAATCCCATTCTGGTGCAGCATAGCATGGCATTGTCCAATGACCCGCATAACGTCGTCCCATGAGCCCTCTAGTCCCAATTAGTATATGCATTCAAGAATATTCCATATACCCCTCCAAGCCACCACGCCCGCATACCGGCCGAGAAGGGAGTTGGCTCGGACGCGAAAGCATACACGACGTAGAAGGGGGTGTGAAGAGTCATACCAACCGTCGTTCCCGCAGAATGCATGGAATAAGTTAATCCGCTCCTCTTGAGAACCCGCTGCACTTCCGCCACCTCTTTGGATACAGATGCTGTGGGAGTGCCGAGCGGAATCAGACAAAAGTCTGCGATGCATGATGGTGGGGTTGCCAAACTTGCGACATCATTTGAGGCCGACATAGTGTAAATTTGTTATGATTGCGGGGTACGGATAGAAAAATAGCTTGGAAGAAAAACCAATGATAAAGTCTTCGGATGTTGATGGTGGTTGCGAGCGAGTTCGGTGATTGTCGGTTCTCCAGACACCGAGACAGCGCCCTTACTAAAAACACCTTTGAGCCCCGAGTTTGATTGGGTAAAAAAATACATATGAAATTGTTGCAAGCTACTACAAGAGGTCTAGCTACGATTTACAGACGTCAATGTTCATCTCTCGCGCGACAGTATCACATTTACATTCGTAATGCGCAATGCAGATTCCAAGAAGCAAACGGTCCACCATCACGCGATCCTAACAAACTTATGCCAACACACTCGTCTGCCACACTATCGTAACACGCAGATGAATTGCATTTGGTTTTCGGAGCAAGCACGACAATGTTCTGTCACTACTCTATCTCCTTAGTCCTATGCAATGCTATCACTATTTCATCGCATTCACCATCGTTCACACAGGCACCATATCTCGTTCTAGCGAGCTCTCTTCGGGGCGATGTCCACGTCCACAAAGACTGGTGGTGATACGCCAATAGTTATATCGATGGACCCTGCAACTACTTTTACTACCACTATACAAGTAGTAACCAGTACAGTCGAAGAGAAGACTTCTCCAGAGGTTCTGACTCAGCCGGCTGAAGTGTCAAAACCGACAACAGAAAGCGCGCTTCTAACATCATTCGACGTCTCGCTACCTAACCCAACGTCTTCCTTGATGGTAGTCGTATCGACAATAGCCACCACTTATGCTGACGATGAAGAGAAGTCGGAAGTGTTATCGAGCGCTTATACTTCCTTGAGATCTACTCCTCAGACGACTATCGCACCATCTTCATTCGATTCAGTATCACCTACAACTGCTGAATCTTCCACTCCATCGCAACCTGAACCTGGTCTTAGCGTAGCGGCGTCAATTGGGCTAGGTGTATCGATGGGTGTCGGAGCATTTCTTGTCATAGTAGGGGTTCTATATGCAGTGTTCGGACGGTATCTAAGGAATATGAGGAGAAGTTCGGAACGTCGGATGGGTGCAACGAATGTAAACAGATGGTGGAAAGGAAGAAGACGGGATAGTTGATGATATTGAGTGAATTAATGAACAAGAATTTCTCCTTCGTCTGAAGCATGAAGAGTCCGTACTTCCTAAATCATCTTCAATCCCTTATATCACCCAAGTGTTGTTTCCTGATCACTACCACCAGGATCATGTTATCCCCATAAATCTCAATATCAGGTAGCTGATCTGGCAAGCCCATAGGACCATCTTCCAATAGAGTTACGCTGCTGAAAAGATTGCTTGTAGAGGAGATAAGACATACATCCCGCCTTACACCGAGGAACACGAATAGTATCCACAACAGAAGTGTTGTGCATCGAGTGAGGGGACTAACATAAGTGTTGAGAATGAGAGATTGTGCATCTTAGCTGTTGCAGAGGAGCGAGTATATAAGTGAACTGAGTAAAGCCATTGCGGGATGAAAGAGCACATCGATGAGTTCAAAAGTTTGACCAACCTCGGATTGAATGGATCCTACGCATTATGCACAGGACAAGAGGTATCTACAATACTAAGCACTCGCAGCCACCACCCCAGCCCGAGTGATGTGAGGTCTCGTAATAGCGATCTTGTCCTCCAAATCTTGCAGCGAAAACCTAGGCCTACGGTATGTGTAGCCCACAAAAGCACCCTTCTTCCTGATCTCCAAAACGGTACGGCCGACCTCTGGATCTCGGAGAAGTTTGTCACGAGGCCTCTTCTTCTCTCTCTTACGCCTCTTCATTTCTTGCAACGATTTGGCAAATAAAGCCTGGGCGGGTTTAGCGATACTCTTTTGCCGGGCTGCCGGCTGGACCAAGGGCGTGGTCTCGTTTTCGCCAACACGGCCTGCTAAATTGGAAACTAACAATTCTCCGACAGCCTCGTAGCTTGAAGAGTCGAGATGATCAGAAGCGCTCATGATCTCAGCCTCATCATCGAAGTACTTGGTAATTGGCTGGCCGCCATGAACACGAGGTACAAACGGAGGACGAGTCTGATGCAGTTGTGACCACTGGATGTTGCGAAAGAACGGATGCGATTTGATGTCTTCGGCGTCATTTGGGTAAACGATATGACCAGTGGTGTTGATGTTCCGGTTGCGGCGCGCACCGGCAGCTTTGTCACGGAGGACCCAGTCATTCTCACGGTATCGCTTAGCTGAGAGTCGATCTTGTCTCTCGTCGAGCAATCGCATCATTAGATCGATTGCATTGCGTGACACTGGCATCAGTGGTACGCGGTCGATATTGGGACGAGCATATCGCTGCTCAGGTGGGAATCGCAGCCACCGGGTGTGGTCCTGTAAAATCAGTACCAGAAAACGAGGTGTCGAAGCCTGACTCACCAGTATGCGCGCTTTCGTGGCTTGGCGATTGTCGCAAAAGAAAGGTGTGCACCCGTAGAGACACTGGCTTCGTCAGTGAAGTTGCATCTGCCTTGTCACCGCCACATACCTCGTATAGTATGATACCGATGCTCCACCAGTCACAACGACCATCGTAGCTTTCACCTCGTATTACCTCTGGTGCCATGTATTGACTTGTTCCGACGACGCTCTTCGCGAATTCACGCCTTTGCTCTCGGTTCAACCAGTCGATTATAGGTCCATTCGCTGAGTCTTGTCTGGTCTGGTAACGGCCGCGCGCTGCGGCACCTCCGTTGACAGGTTCCAGGGTTTTACGAGCATCTTGTCGGCTCTTTTCTTCTTCAACATCTTGCACATCGCCTTTAATATGTAGATCCAGATCGCGGAGTAGGCCGTACCGTTGTTCGTTATAGTACGTCTGGTTGTGAGCCCAGTGTCCATCGAAAGCGAGGCCAAAGTCGGAGATTTTGAGATGACCAGATGACGTGATGAGGAAGTTGTCAGGCTTGACATCGCGATGAATCCAATTCATCTTGTGTGCTTCCTCAATGCACAATATCATCTCCGCAAGATACCACTTGGCAACATTCTCGTCTAAGATGTCTTCACGAAGAAGTAGGCCCAGAAAATCGCCACCCACCATATACTCCATGACAAGATAGAGATTGTTGTTATCCTGGAATGCAGAGATGAGAGGTACCACCCATCTTGAGTTTTCAGAAGCGACTAAGAAGTCTCGTTCTGCCCGCAAGTGTCCCTCCTGACTGTTGCGAAGCATATCCGACTTCCTGATGACCTTCATGGCGAAGACTTGCTTTTGTCTGCGGGTTGTTGGGGAGGACCTATCATTCCTTGGCGTCAACGAGCCATCAAGATATCCTACACTGCAGCTGCTCCCCCTTAGAGTGCCGCAATTGTCGCTCTTCTCGCGAACGAGGCGAACGACACCAAAGCTACCCTTTCCGAGTACTCTTATGATGTCATAGTTGGAAACATGTACGCCCTTCATTGCCCGACGCGCTAGTGTATTGGACTTCATGACGCGTGTTTGGCGGAGATGGTTCGTCTCTGCGAGGTACTATTCTCGTCTTTTGCAATGACGCTGCTCGTTGGGTATGGCCATAGCGAAGAGCTTGCGCTCCATTTGGCGGCGCCGCATGGATCGTGGCGCGACCTTGGTTCCGAGGAGCTGATTGAAGTGAGACTCGAAAAAGGTTTTTGCTGCTGCAGCATGCTCGATGGTAGCAATGGAAGGCTCACATAACCGCGGTGCATCTTGACGTGGAAAGACAAGGAACCGGGGAGGCATGTGTTCTGGAGTGGGCTCACAAAAGAGCGCAGGTGAGTTGTCGGTTATATGACGGCCGTTCTGGGTTCGGTATAACGTTTCAGCAGACAGCGGCGCACCCGATGAGACCAATGACGTTGGTGCAGTCGACTGACTCAAGGGTGCGTTGCTACTGGCAGGACTGAGAACACTTGATGGAAGAGAAGGCACCTCGGACATGGGGCTTTTGGGCGAGGTTGCAGTTTGCTGGTCATCGCTTGGTTGCTTGAACTGGTCGGCTTTGACGGTTGGACGAGAGCTTAACTTGGGTCTATGTACTACCGTATCGTTCTTCAAAAAGGCGTTGGAAAGCTTAGAAGTGAGCTGCCATGAGAGGTTTGGCGATGACCAACTTGTCGATATGGGCGCAGAAGGTGGCGTGTGAGCTCTTGGTATAGGTTCTGACTCGCCATCGAAGACGGCGGCATTAGTGAGTTGAATTAAGGATGAAGAGTCAGGGTCGAGGGAGAGAGTTGGTAGAGTCATAGGTACATCGGGAACTATAGGACATTGTAGAGGAAAGTTGGAGTAGGATTTGACGGTATTGACACGTGGTACGTCTTTTGGTTTGTTCGTTGTTGACCCGGTACTACCAGATGCGGCCTCGCCAGAGCTTGGAGCGGAACCTATTACTGCCATTAGTAGATGTCTTAATGTATAGAACAAACATATATGACATACTCTTGCTATTGCGGAAGATAGAGAAAATCTTGATGCTTCCCCGTCGAAGTGTAGTAAAGGTACGGCTAGCCGGGGTACTGTTGCGCCCCTGTAGGTTCTTCGTGGAGAGGCTGGAATGCCCCTCTGCCGATCGCTCGATAACGCGGATTTTGCCTTTATCACTAGACAGATGTATTTGGTTATGGGCTTCTTTTCTTTTCCGCACTGGTACGAGCGGCATCATGATGGCAGCTCTGGTGTTGGGGTGTTGATGGAGGTTAAGGCCGAGCCGAGTAACAATGTTGGATAGACGCTGCGGTCATCGAAGAATGCCGATGCAGTGCTGTTGGTGATGCTGGTAACAAGAGGAACGAAAAAGGCCAGGCGAGTGCAGTATACCGCTGTCATGGCGGAAAGCATGACTTGGTTGATGCGGAAGGAAGTAAGTCCCATTACAGAAAGGCGGCCATAGTCTCTCAGTGCTCATAGAAGGCGCCCACAACGACTACAGTATCAACCGTGCTTACTGTACCTCAAGCGCAACCGTTGCAACCGCTACCCAGGGTACCAGAATCAACGAATTCGTGTACCCTGCATCCAACATGATCTACAATCTCATGGCGCTTGGCTAAAGCAATGCTTGTTCACTGCTAGCCGCAGCGCGCAAAGATATTCCTTCTCTGCATCCAGCAAGGGGAGTATGGATGTGGTGCCTCGCGCCGTCCTGACAGGCACTAGCAGCGATTCCGAGGATGCATCGCGCTGCGTGAATGGTGCACTGGTACTTTGGGCACGATGTGGATCCAGAAGGAGCGTGGTTCAAGCAAATAGTCGAATATGAGGCCTTCGTTCGTCCCGGTGCAGTGGGCACAACCAAGCGACCAGGGGCGAAGAAACAAGCGCCCAATCAGCATTGGCAACACACAACCCTTCCCCAGCTATCGCACTGCAGCCATCATGCAGCGATATGAGGATAGAAACATGCGCATACATGACGGCTGGGAATTATATTGCGGCAAAGTCGTTGATCGTCGTTCGTTGGGGGCCAACAGCGGCAAGCTGACTGTGCCCACGATTGCTCGCGTTTCGCACGTCTTTCTCTCACAAACAGAGATACCTAGCTGTGGCGGCTCGACACTCTATATCACGCCGTGGTCACACTATCACGGCCGAGTCGCGCGGGATGCCGGTTTTTCTTCAATCCGGAAGGCTTCCTCGCTGCTTGTGATGGGCATGTGGATTATGGAGTAGTTGGGCGCTTAGAGGTGCCTGGCCGGACTGCCGAGGGTCTGCAAAGCCATCACACGCTTCCGCAAATCAGAGAAGCCCTGCGCATGGCCATCTCGGACGCTATTCGCTCCGCCTCTCTAGAGGCGTTCCCTCCCGCCCGACAATACGTGCATACGCGAAGCTCAGTGGTCGCTGGCCCCTGTAGAGTCAATATGCTAGCTCCGTGCCTATTCGCTGCCTACTCAATGCTTCGAGGGCTGACATGCAAAGGCTGGCCATGCTGGCGGACCCGTTTTGCACTGCTCATTCGCCTGAAGCGTCTCTTTCGCTAGCAATGGCATGGTCGCACGAGGCAGTCGAGGCCAAGTCCTGTAATCCATAAGTGCTGATGCCCCCCGCCACCGCACGCTGCCCGTTCTGCGTCGACTACCATCAAATCGTGCACCCTTAAGCTGACGGGTCACTACATTGAAAAAGAGAAGGATTCCCGCTTCGCAAGAGTCTTTGCTTTCCGAACCGTACCGCCACAATGTTTCGTTTTACCGAGCTCGTTTTCGTGGCCGCTACTTGGTCGCTCGCCGCTGCACATACCGTTATCGTCTACCCACCATGGAGAGGAAACAACATCCACACCAACGGAACCAAGTCCGACACCGACCCATCTATTCCGGATGGGTCGCTCGGTATCAACTACCACAATGACACCGGCACATATGGATTCCCATACGGCATGCAATGGATGTACCCATGTACGTTGCTCAGCCCGGTTATCTCGCGCATGAGACAATAGCTAATAACATTCACAGGTGGTGGTATGCCAATGTCACAGAACCGCACAAAGTGGCCGTTGAAGGGTGGCGCCGTCTCGATTCAGCCTGGATGGTTCCCTGGCCATTCGCTTGCCATGTTCTACATCAACATGGGCTACGGCAATGAGCCTCTGAACTACTCGCATACGATGTTGCCAGTGTTCCAAATTCAAGGACCTTCGAACCAGCAATACCCAGGCCAGTTCTGCCTGCCACAAGTACCGTTGCCCGCAAACTACACGCCTCAGGTCGGCGACAACGCGACTATTCAGGTTATCGAGCTTGCGCAACATGGTGCTGCTCTCTACAACGTGAGTAACAGCGTCCGAAAACAACGATGATACAGTCACTAACAGAATTGAACAGTGCGCCGACATCACTTTCGCCGAACCAGAGGACGTTCCTGAGGTCAACGATACAAACTGCGTCAACACAACATCGCCAGACCAGCACATTGGTTTCCAAATCGTATACGCAACAACTTCATCGCCAGCGCCACACAATATGGTTGTCAACAATTACGCATCGATAGCGGTACCGGCAATGCTTGCAGCTGCCTCGTGGATAACTTGGGTTGTCTAAGCCACGATTATATCATTTATTTGTTAATATGATTTTGTTAAGGGCATGGCGTTAGGCGCGAAAGATATCCAGTCTCTTCTGAAGCGACGATCTCCACTTGGAGCGTACGCGGTGTTTTTGGTCTGCGCATATGGAGGTGGACGAACGAGCTGCTTAGCAGCTACGACGGTCTTTCTTTGCGCACATAACACCTCACTATGCAGCATGGTGCACAAAAACTGCACGTCCAATACTATTCGCAACTACTGCGTTTTCTGTTCCACTCATCGCTCACTCAGCGTCAGCAACGTGCCGTCATGCTTGCTAATGCCCATACCAAAGATGTCTGCTTCTGTAAGCCGCCACCAGGAGGCCTGATCTACATGCGTGATCCAGACAACAGCGGGTGGCTTGAGGTGAGGCCAAATCGTAGACCCATTTGCAACAGGCACGCTTTCCAGATGGCTTTTGCAATGGTTTGCGGGCCCTACAAGGACCCTTTTCGCCATTCCGCGTCGGAAATCCCGTTCCGAGCCTCCCTTTCCCCACTAAAACCAGACCCTTGTCCTCTCACGATGATTTTCTACGCGCCCAGGTGGTCCCCTTCCATCCTTCCCGTCATTGCCATCAGCACTTTGGCCACCGCTTCTACGCGCCCATGCAAGCCGCACCTTAACTCGACGACGTGACGATCGGTGATTTCTGTACGTCATTTCGGATTTTGTTACTCTTCTGGTTGGAGAATATGCGCCTTGTTTTCCAGCCCAGACTGATTTTTGAGTGGAGCCCGAAGAAGTGAAGAGAAGGAATGAGCAAAAAAGGCAGGGGGCGTGTGAAGAGGAAGGAGGTTCAGAGTGACGATGGTTGGACCGTGATCACTCATGGGCTGGCTAGCGTTTCGCTCAATGACAAGGGGAAGAAAGAGATAGATGCTGGATCTTTACCGACTCGGACTGTCGAGGGTTTGACGGCTGAGAAGCTTCTCGAGGACTTTCGCACTCTTCAAGATCGATGGGAAGACACTTTACTTGCTAAGCAAGTTAAAGAAATCCTGGAGAAGAGTGGTGGAGATAGTGGGTGGGGAGTCGAGAAGGCGGCATGCATAGGCATCGGCAGTTTCAGTAGGGACTGGGCACATCGGTGGAGAAGTCTGTGGCAGCTTGTATTGTTTGTTGCTGTAGTTGAGAGGCGTATGTTATTGTCACTCTACCCTTCTCTATCTCTATGCAGAACAACTAATATCAGAGCAGTCAAAGACGACAATGAGGACACCAAGTTGGGATGCTTCGCCCAAGACCCAGCCTTCACACCCCTCGACGTTGAATTCCTCTCTTTGCTCTCCATTACAGTCCTCGAATCCGACCTTCAGTCCCGCATCACCTCTCAATCCTTCGTCTACTCGCCTTTTGTAGATTGGTTCCTTCTGTTACCAGTCTTCCTCAAATCTAAAGATCCGGTCTTGTATGTCGGTAATGAGATACTAGATGATTACAGTGTTTACGCGCAAACAAAGGAGAAGAAGGAACGGTTGGAGGAGTGTAACGAGGTAGGCAAGAAATGGACGGAAAGTAGGGAGAAGGTGGCATTGAGAGAGTTCGAGAAGCATGGAAACGCCTTGAATGGGATGGTCGTTTATTGGAAGAATGCTGATCAAGGGGTACAAGAAGGGAGAGTCCTAGATGAGAAGCCTGATGGAAAGATATGAAGGTGCTGTATCTCGAAGGCAGGCACGAGAAATCTTTGAAACGCCCAACACATTCAGCGTTGTGATTTGCTATAAGCTTAGGGGAAACACCTCGTAGTCATAGGGAGAGTAAGATCCGAGACTCCAAAACAACCACAACCCTACAACATGTCTTGTTCTTCTTCCTTGGAGGAGGTAGATACAAACTTCTCTATTCCTCCACCTTAGGCTTCATTCGTCATATCAAATTCATATTACGCTTTTACAAAAATGATATCGGGTTTGATGATGTCTGTTTCTGCCTCTGGAGGTCAGCAATGCTGATCAGCATCATGCGTGAAGAGCTTGAGTTCAAAGCACTTCATAAAATCACACATTTGTTGTACCTACTACCTGAGTGGAAGAAATTGAATCTCTTCCAGGCGAGGGTAGAGCATTCTACTACCTACGTGTCACACCCACCAGAGGTGAAGACAAAGTATATACTCAATACACTTCCATCCGCATCTATTTGCCCATACCCTTTAAGTATGCCTCCCAGCCATCCTCTAGCAGGGCCTTGTCCTTGCGCATAACCTCCTTCTCGTTACCCTCCATCCAGACCCTCAGCCTCTCGCGGATCGTCTTGTCCTCAGCACCAAGGATACGAACAGCAAGCAGCGCAGCATTGGTCGAGTTGTTGATACCGACCGTAGCAACAGGCTCACCGCGCGGCATCTGGGTCATGCTGACAAGACTGTCCCAGCCATCCATCACACTCGCCTTGACAGGAAGTCCAATGACTGGAAGTGTAGTCCACGACGCACACATACCAGGCAGATGGGCTGCACCGCCCGCTGCGCCGATGATCACTTTCAGAGAGGTCTGAGAAGCGGTCTTGGAAAACTCTCGTAGCCAGTCGGGTGTTCGGTGGGCGCTGGTGATGCGTGTTGTGAAGGGAATTTGCAGCTTGGTGAGGATCTCCAGACCGGCGCGGAGGACAGGGAGGTCAGAATCTGAGCCCATGATAACAGCAACGAGCGGATCTTCTTTGGAGCTTTCAGAACTGCGCGATTCGACATTCTTGCCTTTTTGGTTGTCGACGAAGTCAACGAGTGGCTGGATCTCGCGTTCTGCGGCTGCGAGTGTGGGCGCTGTGATGGTGATGTGACCCATCTTACGTCCGGGACGTGCATCGCCTTTACCATAGAGATGAATCGATGCATTTGGTGACTCAAGAGCTTTCTTTGCGACCTGAACATGGGAGTCTGGAGTCTTGCCGCCGAGGATGTTAAGCATGATTGAGGGTTCGCGGAGGCGGAGACTGGACTGGGAGATGGGCAGATCAAGAATAGCTCGCAAGTGCGCATCGTACTGAGAGATGGGGCAGGCTTCAATGGTGTAATGGCCTGAGTTGTGCGGACGGGGTGCGATCTCGTTGATGAGTAGGCTGTCGTCTTTGAGCAGGAACATCTCGACGCCGAAGACTCCCTTTCCTTCGAAAACACCGATAGCCTTCTTGGCAAGTTCTTGGGCTCTTTGTGCGGCCTCCTCTGCTACGTTTCGTGGCGGCGCATATGTGAGCTTGCAAATGCTATCCTCGTGTACAGTCTCAACTGTAGGGAATGTGAGTACGCCATCCTTTGTCTTGACAACCATGACTGCGAGTTCCATCCTGAAGTCTGCCCATCGTTCGGCATATAGTGGCCTCTTTCCCAGGGCCTCGAATGCAGCGTCAACATCCGCCTCAGTCTTCACCACAAAGTTTCCCTTGCCGTCGTACGCCTCCGTCTTACTCTTGAGCATGAAGGGATAACCATATGATGCACCCACCTCTTTCAACCCCGCAACACCCTTTCCCTCCAGATCGATGCTGTCCGCAACGTCAACTCCATGCTCTTTCAGGTACTGCTTCTGTGCGTATTTGTCCTTGATGGTCCGCAGTGTTTTCCAGCTAGGTTCAACGACGACTTGTCCAGAGACCTCTTCTAGCATATGGGTATCCACGTGCTCAATCTCGACAGTAACGACATCGGATGATTCAGCGAGTTTCTTGACAGCCGCTGCATCTTTGAAAGATCCCTCAATGTGGCCGTCATGCGTTGATATCTGCTTTGCTGGCGATCCCGCGACATCCAGGACATTGACTTGTATGTTTAACCGATTTGCGGCTTCGATCAGCATGCGACCCAACTGGCCACCGCCCAGTACTCCTACTTTTCGATTGTCGGCCATCTTGTTAGTGTTGGTGTTGAAGTCAAGTCGTTCAAGTGCCGCAGTGACTAGTTGGGGTATTACGTGGGTGAGAGTGGTTAGCGTGATGGTTGGTTGGATGTGGGGGAGCCGCAGAAAAATTAGCACGCGAAAAACTTCGTCGTCCAGCAGTCGTATACAGAATTTCCTGTTGCAGACAAATAGTCCTGCAGGTGGAATTGCGCATGATAGTGGTATTTTTGAACGAAAATGACGTGCACGTTCACCAGAGCAATATGTGGACATGTGGTTCATGATTTAACCATGAGCTCGGAAGAGCCCATCTGTATGCTTTCATTTCATGTTGAGCATTGAGTATCTTTTTGCAGGCTTTCGAAGAGCCCTTGCCAGTCATGACGCGCGCCTCATAAGTGAATTCCCATGACCATGACCACGCCAACCCAGAGAAACCAGAGTGCTTCCAGCACACGCTTAAACCTTGAAACCACGCGACCTTCTGCGTCCACGGGCACGCTCGAACTTGCGACCCTTGCTCTCGACGTAAGGCTTCTTGTGGGAGTGGGGACCGAAGCCGAAGTGCTTGAAGGCCTCACGGGCGTTCTTGGGTCCACGGAGAAGGAGAGTGTTGGATCCAGTGGGGAAACGGGTGGCGACCTCGTCGATGGTGAGGCACTCACCACCGGCCTTCTCGATGCGGGCGCGGGCAGAGGCGGTGAAGCGGAGAGCCGCAACGGAGAGCTTGGGGACCTCGAGCATGCGGTTGTCGTCAGTGACGGTACCGACCTGACCGTATGTTAGCCATTGTTCTTCGTTGTAGGTTTCTTCGCTTGACGTACGACAACGACGGTCTTGCCCTCGTGCTCCTTGGCGGAGTGCTTGTTGGCAGCGTTGGCGACGATCTTGGAGACGGAGACCGGCTACGGAGTGTTAGTGGTACTGTTCTGCAGGCTTCGTGCGATCGATCGTCTTACGGGACGGTTGGTCTTCGACATCATGAGGCGTCGCAGAACGGTCTTGTTGAAGTTGGCATCGGTACGGCCTGTCCGCTGTTAGCACAAACAACGTGCGCATTTTCAGTTGGAGTACTTACGAGCCAGGAACTTGTACAGGCGCACCAACAGCCTGACGTAGGGGTTGGTGGACTTAGGGACCTCTGTATACTCGTCAATCTCTCTTCTCTCGAAGGCTTCATGTTGCGTCTAAAAGACAGCTGTCGCCAGCGCATTGCTGCGCCGACTCGACGGGGGATCACATACTGCGGTGCCCGTCTCGAACATGGTGGCGGTCGAGGTCGATTCCCATCTTGACTGATTTTGAGCGTGTTGTGCTGTGGGTTAGTAACGACTGAGGGAGAGAGCGAAGTTCGTGAACTCGAATTTGGCAGGAAAGAGCTCCTTGGCGTGGTGTGGCCCGTGCGAAGCGAGAACTCGAAAACTCCACCCGGCAGGAGCGAAGTGGCCCAGCATGCATGCCGCTTAGTCTACAATATTTAGAACATCGCATGTGATATTTGTGGTGCATCTTCGTGTTTCCATTATTGCATGCTCGTATCCCAACAAACGACACCTGTTTCAAGCTGGGGACCCCCGTTGGTCTTCAAAGCCACATACACATCAGATACAACACCACGACACAACGAGACACAGTTGAAGAGGCTGCTCGCAAGCATTACCATTATGTAGCTAGAAGTGTTTACTTTCGCTCGCAGTTTCTGTGAATGCCTGCAAGATCTATGTGTCAAAAACGTGTTACTTAATCATTCCCTGTCATTGCTCCCTGACATGCGGTAGACACCACTGTCGCGTACCGAACCACAAAAAGTCTCAAAGAAGGCTCCGTCAGCATGAGAAGTTCCTGCTCGTCTATGCGTATAAACACCGGTCACCGTACACTCCAAATCCGCTCCAAGCTAAAGATAAAACGACAAGGGGGAAGGAAATCAAGGGCAGCCGAGCGTACTGCGAGTGCGTATGCTATGGGCTAGAAACTGGCATCGACTCGTCGTGGAAGGCCGAGTTCTTATACGGCCTTGTCGCCGATGAGCTTGCCGATACCGTTGTAGACCTGGTTGGTCGAGTCGGGAGCGTAACGGGGTCCGAGAGAGCCAAGAACGAGGAACATGCCGATGACAACAGCGGCGAAGACCATCAACTTGCGGAGAACGGGCCTGGTGTGGCCAAACTCCTGCCACTTCATGCTGCCCTGGCCGAGGTACTCCTTCAACTTCTCTCCGCCGAGCTTGTAGTACACAAGACCACCAAGCGCAATAGCGTAACCGAAAGCCTGGAGAGGGGTGACGGGGTCCTTGAAGAGGAACATGGAGGCAAAGACGAGGAGAATGTCCTTGAGTACACCGGAGAGGGTAAGGACGAGCGAGGAGGTCTTGCCAATCTGGAAACATGTAAGTAGATGCATGGCAAATGGACAATGTGCAACATACCAAGAAAACGACCGAGACGTTGAGCAGGAAAGCAACAGATGCGTTGGCCAGCAGAGTCATAAGACCGACACGGTCCACATCAGCCATGGTCATCTGGGGAAGCTCGGTGAAGAGCAAGATGAATCCGTTGATGACAGCGCAAGCAGGGGCGTAGTAGTAGAGGGAGACGAGCGGGTCCATCTTGAAATCGGCACCGCTGAGCAGGCGCTGAACCATGACCAGACGGACAGCCTCGAAAACGATACCAGCGCACTGGAAGAGGAAACCGATCATGACGAATTGGATCTCTCCCATCGAGGCAATGACGACACCAATAACGATGAAGGACACATTTCCGAGCGTCTTCAGGTTGACAGGCGCAACTCCGAGACCCCAGGTGGTGAGAAGGACGGCGACGGGCATAGTAGCCTGCAGAGGTCAGTAGCTGCCACATTGTTCATCTCCGGTCTTGACGTACCTTGAGCATTTGGATAAAGGCCACACTCAGGTAGAGGTATGCCTGGTTACCGCAGATCAAGCTCATACTGAAGAAGATACCGATGGGAACGATGGCTCGCAGGTATACGCGTCCGGTCATGGGCACCTTTTTCCTCGAGTCGAGGACGGTGGTGAAGCGGGCGAGGATCTGGGTCATGACGGTCGCAAATACCAAATGCCATGTTGTCAGGAAAATGGGAAAGTCTGGTGCTGGCGTTAGAATGCGGCGTTGCGGCGGAGCAGTAGAGTACACGTACGGAACTTGGCTGTATCTAGGATGTACTTGTTGAAGACGATTGTGCTGGAACTGAGAGTGATCCATGTTCTGCAGCATTGTCAGTACGTCGTGTCGTGCATATTGGGATTGAGCTGACCTACGCAATGTATACTGCAGGATGGAAAGATGGCGCCTCGGGCTGGGGCTTCTGCGCCTCTGGGTTGACAGTCGGGAGCACAGGCAGGGCTGTGTCGCGCGACGCCTCTACAGAGGATCTCATCTTCTCGTCTGACATGGCTGCGGGTGGTGGCTAACGAGGGACGGTAGAGGTGTTGGTGAAGGTCAAAGGAGGTGCGGCGCTGGAGAAAGCGTGGTTGCAGTTGCAGTAGCAGTGGTAGTGGGCTAGCGCTGCTGACTGATGATGTCTTGCGCGTCCAAGGACAAGCGTGGCACAGGCAACACGAACACGGTCGAGGTGACTTGGTGCACTCGAAGCAAGAGGCAATGAGGAGATAAAGAGCGACAGAAGTGTTGGGAGCACTTGTAAAAGTGACGGTAATAATACCTCGAGGCGCTAGGGAAGGGAGGGGCGGAGCGGAAATCAACCTGACGACCTTCTAGAGCCGGCGCACAGGGGGGGTTCTGGTTTAGGAGCGCTATCACTGGGCAACGGCCAACTATGTACTAGAGCTGATATGAGGCAAGATGAAGATTTGCCAGGGCCGCGCGGGATTTTGCAATGCTCGATGAGGTGAAACTGATCTGCTGTGGAGCCCTCGATGGACGCGCAATCGACGACTGCTGCGAGCCTCCCCCAGCCATGGCGCCGAAATTTTGAGCCGCCTTTTAGCAATTGCTTGTGTAGGTGTGTACGCGTACAGTTCTCCCTGCAGAGAGCGGCCGAAGCGACCGGTCCCACATGTCTCTGGAAAGGTGACAGCTTCATGCACATCGCAGCACCCATACTGCTGCCACGCGCAAATTGTTTACATTGCAGGAGCCACGCCGTGTCGCTGAAGTAGCAGGGTGAGGCGCACAATAGGGGTAATGCATGCTGCTGTCGCTGCCGTACAGAGGTACTTTCGCACACAAGGCTTGATTGCATGGTCGCACTAGCACGACACCAAGTCGATGCGTCGTTGATCTGAAGCTGTAGTCCCCCAGAGATAGAGTCGGTCAAGCTTCACTACGGTGTTGCAACAAGCCAGATTGAGGCTCCACCCGCGGGAACGTGCAGTGGAACACGGTGACACAGCGCGCAACGACAACGGGTCCTCGAAGCCATGAACGTGTTGCACATATGGGGTGTGAAAAGGGAGGCTGTCATGATACGCAGAAGACAGCGGCCAATGAAGATGCCCATGAGCAGCCATGTTCTGCCAGATCGACGGTCCCCGTGGCGGCTTGCCCCTTTTCTGGCCGTGGCCTGTACAAGCGCTCCAAGCTCTCCCCCAGCCGAGCAGGCGAGTCCTTCGGCGGCTGGCCCCAGCTGTACAGTACCCTGGACCCGCTTAAAGCAGTATCGCCCTTGGCGTGCTTAGTTTATCGCCAGCTATATTCCTCCACCACGCCCCAAGAGTTTGGCCTCTGCTCCACATTCCTCTATAACTACTGTTGCACTGCTCGCGCACCGAGTACATGCTGAACTACGCCCGCCAGACTTTGAAGCGAGTTCCGAGTTTTCAGGAAATACTACAAGGCAAGATGGGATCCGCCAAGGAAGAAATGTATGTTCACCGCCTGCCCACCTTGCATCCTTCGGGAGCACGCCCTGACAATGCCACAGTTCTGTCGATGTGCTCGTTATCGGTGCTGGTCCGACCGGTCTCGGAGCAGCAAAGCGCCTGCACCAGATTGTACGTCCAACAGACACCTCCTGCAAGTGGCGGGGCAAGTGCTAACAACCGCAGGACGGCCCCTCATGGCTGATTGTCGACTCCAACGAGACACCTGGTGGTCTAGCTTCGACCGACACCACTCCAGAGGGCTTCGTGAGTATCTCCACTGCCAATTGACTGCCATTGTCTAACACTGCCCCAGCTCTACGACGTCGGTGGCCATGTCATCTTCTCCCACTACAAGTACTTCGACGATTGCATCGATGAGGCCCTTCCCAACGACGACGACTGGTTCACCCACGAGCGTGTCTCCTACGTCCGCTGCAAGCGCCAATGGGTCCCCTACCCATTCCAGAACAACCTGTCCATGCTGGACAAGGACGACCAGGCCAAGTGTGTTGACGGCTTGATCGACGCCGCACTTGAGGCTCGCGTGGCAAACACCAAGCCCAAGGACTTTGACGAATGGATCATGCGTCAGATGGGTGTTGGTATTGCCGACCTCTTCATGAGGCCATACAACTTCAAGGTCTGGGCTGTTCCCACCACCAAGATGCAGTGCCAATGGCTCGGAGAGCGTGTCGCTGCTCCCAACGTCAAGGGCGTCATCAACAACATCATTCACAACAAGACCGCAGGAAACTGGGGTCCCAACGCTACCTTCCGCTTCCCCGCACGAGACGGTACCGGTGGTATCTGGAAGGCTGTCGCAAAGACACTGCCAGAGTCCAAGACAAAATACGGCGACCACGCCAAGGTCAACAAGGTCGACGCCGACGGCCACAAGGTACACTTGAACGACGGCACAGTCGTCAACTACAAGAAGCTCGTCAACACTATGGCTGTTGACGCGCTCGTCGAGGCCATGGGCGACAAGGAGCTCATCGACCTCAGCAAGGGTCTCTTCTACTCAAGCACACACGTCATTGGTGTTGGTCTCCGTGGCGAGCGCCCTGAGCGTATTGGCGACAAGTGCTGGCTCTACTTCCCCGAGGATGACTGCCCATTCTACCGCGCCACCATCTTCTCCAACTACTCGCCATACAACCAGCCACAAAAGGACGTCAAGCTTGCCACTCAGCAGCTCGCAGATGGCTCCAAGCCCAGCTCCACCGAACCCAAGGAGGGTCCATACTGGTCCATCATGTTGGAGGTTTCCGAGTCCAGCATGAAGCCCGTTGACGAGAAGAACATGCTCAAGGACTGCATTCAGGGCCTCATCAACACCGAGATGATCAAGTCCGACGACGAGATCGTATCCACCTACCACCGCCGCTTCGACCACGGATACCCCACACCCTCGCTCGAGCGTGAGGGCGTTCTCACCAAGCTTCTCCCTGCGCTCCAGCAAAAGGACATTCTGTCGCGTGGCCGCTTCGGCTCATGGCGATACGAGGTCGGTAACCAGGACCACTCGTTTATGTTGGGTGTAGAGGCCGTCGACCACGTTGTTAACGGCGCTGTTGAGCTGACCCTCAACCACCCCGACTTTGTCAACGGCCGCAAGAACGAGGAGCGCCGCCTCAAGGATGGTGCCCAGATCTTCGCTCAGACTCCCCTTGCTCTGAGGAACAAGGGTGTTGAGTAAGCGCATACACATTAGATGTTCAGCATGTGCAGTTTCGGAAATGTTTATGGGATACCACGTTATGTTATGAGGGACGGGAAGACATGGAGTTGGTGCATTAGTGCGGACTCTAGGTAGAGATAGGTGCATCGCTTCGCATCTTGAATAGATGTAGAACAAAAATATACTTTTAGACTTGCACATTCACACATCTTGTCCTCGTACATGAACTGTTTGAATGATCTTAGCCGCCATTGGTGACATGTATCCAATACTCAACACAACCTCTACCTCCCCGATCGATCGATCGATCGCGAGAATACATTTTCACTTGTACATGACTAGCGATAATAACCGCGGGCATACTGATTGTCGCATCCTCATCTTGTTAGACTTGTTTTCGAGTCGTAGCAATCACACCACAGTGGGTACCCCCCACCCATGTATAATCAACGGGCCGATTCTGTATGCTTGCCAACCGCTATAATCTTTCTTTGTTACACAGTCACCGCTGTGTTCTTAGGGACGCGTACAAGCGTTGGATTGACGGGTGTATTACGGAGACTCCGGAGATGGAAGGACATGTTGAGGGTAGCTAGACAATGCAGGGTCTGCAGGATCTTGCAGATGACAGCATGTTGTACACCGTATTGTGGCATGGGGTAGGTAGGGCGAGATGGAGGAAAACGCGGTTATGTGGCGAAAAGACGAATACCGAGTTGGAAGGTCGATGGTAACGTGGCTTTTTGAATGTTGACTTGAAGTGCATGAAGCCGAGAGTTGTTGTGCGTGTGGGCTAGTTTGTATGTAGGTCATGAAGTATGCCTTTTCTTCTACACACGAAGTCTAGACTAAGCCTTGCTTGCCCTAAACTTCCTCAACACCTCCCTCTCCTCGTCATCCCTAGCTATGCTTTCTTCATCGCCTACAGGGAGTCGCTGGTGCTTCCACTGCTTACCCCCTGCGCCATAGTCTGCGCTGACTTGTGCGTCACCAACAATGACCCATTTGTAGATTGTCAAGCCCTCCAGTCCTACAGGTCCTCTAGAATGGATCTTGTTCGTCGAGATGCCGACTTCAGTACCAAAGCCATATCGCTGTCCGTCGGCCATGCGTGTACTGGTGTTCCAGTAAACAGAAGATGAGTCGACGGCAGCGAGGAAGGTCTTTGCTGTGGCTTCTGAGGTCGTCAGGATAGCATCTGTGTGATGAGAGCCGTGTGCGTTGATGTGGTTTATGGCTTCATCGACGTTGGTCACCGTTTTGATCGCGAGTATGTAATCTAAGAACTCAGTGTCGTAGTCCTCTGGTCCGGCTTCCTGGAGCAGTGTTGCGGAGTGCGGGTCTAATTTGCCTTTGAGTGCGAGCAGAGAGGTGGGATCGCAGCGCAGCGACACTCCCTTTTGTAGCAGCGCCTCAGCGACAGTGGGAAGGGTGGAGCTGAGGGCTGCTTCCTCAACGATGAGTTGTTCAAGGGCGTTGCACCCGGCCGGGTAGCTTGCCTTTGCGTCTAAGACGATCTTGGCGGCTTTCTCAGCGGGGTAGTCAGCGCAGAGGTAAGCTGAACATATTCCGTCTGCGTGGCCGAGAACAGGAATGGTGGTGGTGTCTTTGACGTAGCGAACCAGCTTGTTACCACCACGAGGAATGCAAAGATCGATGTATGTGTCTTGCTTTAGTAGGTCGGCAATGACATCGTGTGTTTGGACTAGTTGCAGACAGTCGGATGGGACTGCTGTTGATGGAAGAGCTTTGGAGATGATGGATGCAATAGCCGCAAAACTGTTGCTAGACTCACGGCCACCCTTGAGGATAGCTGCATTTCCGGACTTGATGGCAAGCGCAGAGATGTTGGCGATGACTTCAGGCCGAGCTTCAAAGATGATGAGAAGCACGCCAATAGGACATGTTATCCTTGACAGTACCAGGTCATCGTCTAGGAGGGTTTTCGCGGTGGTCTTGTTGATTGGGTCTTCCAGATCCTTCACGTCCAATATTCCCTGCAGCATATCCTCATATTTCCCCGGCTTCCCCAGATCCAGTCTCTTGACTAGACTTGCACTTAGCGTGCCTCCTGCTGCAGCCTTGTTCGCAGCTTCCAGATCCTGCGCATTGGCCGCTAGAACCTCCTCTTTTCCAGTTGCTAGTGCGGCATGGATAGCTATCAATGCGGCATTCCGTTCCTCGGTAGACAAGACGGCGAGTTTCCGGGACCCGAGTCTTGCCGCCTGAGCGACTTGGAGCGGCGTGGCGTTGGTTAGAGACATTATTAGAGATACTTGGTGAGGTGGTGAGACCTAATAACTGATGAATTCTTTGCGCACGCGTGACTCAGAATACCTAGTCTAGAGGGGGACAAAGTCTGAGGCGATTTTATCGGAAGGATCGTATGCAGGGTCTAGTTCCGCTACGAGTACTATTGGTAACTAGAGGCGGATCGTACTGCAGCTGTATGTGGAGGCCGCGTTGGGTCCAAAGATAGGTACAGATGCATGCTGGATGCATGCGCCACATTTTGCCCAACGCCACATGACTCGGCGCCACACGCGGGGAAGTCCGTGATGCCCTCGTGTTCCCTACAAGGTATCTTACCTACTGCGCAGTTCTTGGAAAGTGTCTACACGACGACCAAAGTTGTTGAGAAGAAAGAAATTGGGTTGCGTCATACCCAAGATTTGTTCTTGCTCGGGCCTGACGTGGCTCGAGCTTTGTGGTGGCTGGGTGGCTGGGAGGTTGGGAAGCATTGTCGCCTCGCCAACCTCGTTCAAATCCACCATTAACGATCGCGAGAGAGTCTGACCCGCTCTGTTAGCTTGCTTGACACCTCATCATGTAGGTCATTGCTTAGAGATGGCTGGTACACTACAAAAGTACAATGCTGGCCGGGCCGCTGCACCTGCATCTTACCCATAACCTCTCAAGTGCTGAGCAGGTAATCAACCAACCAAACTAATCACCACGACATTCACACGTGCTACTCTTTAGTACTCGTTTGATACCACAGCACACTTAGAGCATTACATCGCATTACATCGCATCACTACACCATAACCCCGACGCATCCCGTCGGCAACGCTCGCTATCTGCCATCTTCGTTGTCACATCACCACCAAGATGCGCTCCACGATGCGAGCACTCACTGTTCTGGCCTCCGTCGCCCTCTTCGCTCGCTCCAACGCCCAGACATGGTCCAACTGCAACCCAACTCTACGAAGTGACTGTCCCCCGGACTCCGCCCTCGGCAAAACCGTCAACATTGACTTCTCGTCCGAGTCGGAGAGTTTCACAGCACAAGGCAACCCTACATACGGTAACGACGGCGTGTCTTTCACCATCAGACAGTCCGGAGACGCACCCCAGCTTACTTCGCTGTGGTACATCATGTTCGGAAAGGTCGACATTGAAGTTCAAGCCGCACCGGGCGCGGGTATTGTCAGCAGTTTCGTGCTGCAATCCGACACGCTAGATGAGATCGACTGGGAATGGCTTGGTGCAGACCCCGATGAAGTACAATCCAACTACTTTGGCAAGGGACAGACAACAGATTACAACCGTGGTGCTTTCCACTCTGATCCGGGCAGTCAGTCAGGCTTCAAGAAATACACCATCGAATGGACCCCAGAACAGATTGTCTGGCAGATTGATGGTACCACGGTCCGTACGCTAGAGCCTGCGAACGCCAACAACCAATACCCTCAGACACCTATGCAGATCAAGTTCGGCGCATGGAGCGGTGGTGATTCAGCCAACCCCGCAGGTACCATCTCTTGGGCTCGCGGTCCCACCGACTACTCCCAAGGCCCCTTCAGCATGAAGGTCAAGTCTCTCAAGGTTCAGGACTACTCTACCGGTACTCAATACGTCTATGGCGACCAAACTGGCACTTCGGGATCTATCAAGTCTGTCGGAGGTACCATCTTCTCTGGTGGTAACGCTCCTGTTGCCGACGCACCGGCCATCACTGCGACTGCTACCGGACAGCCCCTGCCCTTTACACCTCATCAGACCTCCGATTACGTTCGCCCCAGCGTTTACCCCTGGATTCCCGACCCGTCGGCTACTCCCACTCCGCAACCAACGTTTGCAAACTACCCCGGGCTCCCGAGCGGGTGGACCGTTTCGGATTCCGGAAAGGTTGTTCCACCCAGCTCAGCCACTGTCAGTAAGCCTTTTGCGACCCCCTATCTTATCCCGATAACAAAATGCTAACAATCTTCTGTAGATGTCCCCTCTCGGTTCCTATACCTCATCGCCGCAAGCTTTACCTACGGGTTCCTCCGACAATGGGCCTAAGACAGTGACTGGATATGACGATCGCGGCTTTACCACTATCCGTACGATATACCCTAGCAAAACACCAGCGCCGACTATCAGCGAATTGGAGAACAATGCTGCGACCGGAGTCCCCGCAGCGCCTGCACAAGGCGCATCATGGAAGCTTATGGTCTCGTCCATATTACCATGGGTCATCGTCCTGGTTCACATCCCTGGATGTCTCAGCCTCTAGGCGCGCTGGACCGACTTATGGGATATGATGGACTTCGGTCCAGCGTTCTACATACTAGGCGTTGGTATCGTCGCGATGAGTACATGTGTTAGGAAATGTTTTACGAAAGGATATGTTGGTTTCAAAGTCTCGATCAAGCTCTGGGCTGCACCTTGGCCAGGCATGACCTGGAAATGGAGTTATCAAAACAAGGGAAGCAAAGACAGAAGACTTGAGTACCTTAATGTTTGGATATGGCTACGACTGCTTTTTGGATTTTAGTTGCATAGCGTTGGTTTGGGTTATTGTTAAATATCATAGCGTGGATGGGATTGAGGATTGAGCTATTGCTCTTTTGAACGTTAGACTAATGACGACTACGTCGCAAAGTAATGAATTACTACCCTATGAAACCTGTCCTCACTGTCTGATTCTCGACTGCCAAACTGGAAGATGCTTGGCACTTTTTGAAGAGTGTCTGCTCCGAATATCAACTTTGAAGCTTAAGATATGTATCGAAGTTTGCAAACGAGAACTTAGGGCACTTTTTGACACCAGGTGCAACTCGCGGGCAATAAATCTCCCTGCATTGCCATCTCTGGCTAGCTTCTTTCGTGATCAGGGTCCAGGTATAAAAGTCCCGCTCTGTCACCAGGGCATTCAGAACAACCTTTTTCTAGAACTATCAGACCATTTCCACATATAGGGACCATGTTTGTCTCACAGAAGGTGATTGCATGCGGTCGTCACACTCTATAATTATCAAGGAGATGACAAGGTTCAAAAGGTCCAAAACGCCGGAATGGACTTTTTGAAGAATGCTAGTATACATAAAGAATTAAAGCTCCATCCTATTCATGCTGTAAGTCCGAAAATCATGTGCTTTCTCCTCCATCTCAAACCGAAACAGGGAAAAAAGAGCAAGTGCCTAAACACGATCTTGGCCATGCATATCACACCTTCGATTATTCCGCCAAGTACAAACCTAGCTCAGCCTAAGATGAGCAAGCCGGTTGTTTAGTATAATTCCAACTCTTTTCTGGGCACTCTCTCTAGCAAACCCTTAGATCCACATCTAACCGCCACGACCACCATAGGGCTGGTGCCTGAAACCACCACCACCACGGTGACCTCCACCACGGTAGTTCGCGCCTCGGACACCAGCGTTCTTAGGGCCAGTGGGGGCGTTGATGGGGGCTTGACCACCACCAGCAGGGGGTTGGCTAGAGCCCTGGCGAGAACGGTTGTTCCTAAAGCCGCCGCGACCGCCTCCAGGACCAGAGGGGATGTTTGGCTGGGGCGCGTCGTCGTACATACCATCCCAGCTCTGAGGTCCTCCCTGAGCGTTACCGAAGCCGGCGGGGCCGGAGAGTTGCTGCTGGCGGCGTGCCTGCTGTTGTTCGTATTTTTGCTGTTCGAAAGCGAGTTGATCTTGAGCGGTGTAAGCTGGGCGTGGACCACCGGCACTCTGGCCACCTTGAGGATTCATCATACCCGGACCACCTTGACCTCCTGGGCCTCCACCACCTTGCATCTGTGCCATCTGCATCTGTTGCATTTGCTGCATCTGCATTGGGTTCATTCCACCTGGACCACCCATCATCTGGGGGTTCGGAGAGCCATTGCCGCGGTTCATACCTTGGTTCATCATCTGCTGTTGCATCTGCTGCATTTGCATCGGGTTCATACCACCCATGGCAGCCATGGGGTTACCGGGCATACCACCACCGGCTTGTTGCTGAGCGAGGGTTTGCTGCATGGACTGGAAGTACTGTTGCATTCGCTGCCAGTACTGAGCCATCATGGCAGGGGACATGGCGCTGTTGCCACCTTGGCCTTGCATGTTTCCACCGTTATTGTCATAATTGTTGCCGCCACCTTGGCCACCGTTACCGTTGTCGTTGAATTTGTTGAACTTGTTCCCGCGGCCGAACTTCTTGTTGCCGTCGCCTCCATCATCATCACGCATGTTACCACGAGGTTGAGCACGCTTGACTTCAATCTGCTTGCCGAGAATTTGTAGGGGACCGCGTAGAGTAGCGTCTACGGCTGCATCACCATCGAAAGTAACGAAGCCGAAACCTCGGGGTCGGCCAGTCTCCTTGTCCATCATAAGTGTGGCATCGACGACGCGACCAAACTGCTTGAAGAAGTTTGTAAAGTCTTCCTCAGTGGCTTCTTGGCTGACGCCACCGACAAAGATCTTACTCGTTCTTTCCTGCTCTTCACGAGGAATCGCACGCTTCGGATCGATCTGAACAATGTTAGTCAGTGCTTCGCATTTGAGCGGGTATAGACGTACAATCTTGCCATCAAGGTAATGCTCCTTGACCATGACAATGTTGACGCACTTGGGGTCCTTGAACGTGAGGAAGCCGAATCCTCGAGAACGTCCAGTAGCAGCATCACGCATGACGGTACATTCACTAACTTCACCGAACTGCGAGAAGTAGCCCTTGAGGGAGTCTGTTGCAAAGGGTTAGCAAGGTTGTGCGTTTTATATGTAATTGAGTGGACCAAGACATATTTACATACCTTCTGTAGTCTCCCAGTTCAGTCCGCCGATGAACATCTTGCTATGGCTGAAGTCAGTAAAACAATCATAAGTAGCGACACTATCAGTAAACTCAAAAGAGAAAAACGAGGCGCATCATATGGTATCCGTAGCTGTTCAGTTAGAAGTGCCTCCGCGTAGAGGCTGGTAGCGGTGTTGTTGTCGAAAACACCCTTGTCGAAATATGATGAGCTGGAAATATAGGCTCAACGCCCATGATCCCTCTATCGCACCTTCAGCCATCATCCTTAGAAATGGATATAGCAGAACACAATCCCAAGAGGTTTTTATCGTAACGAGGTCCATGTAGCCGAGTTCGTCAAATTGGTCGTGCTGCACATTTGACAACTAATCGATTGGTGAGGCGTCCGGAGTAGTTTTGCCAGTCGCAGTAATGTAGAGGACGCAATTCGTGTTCTATCGTGGATGATTGGAAACTGAGCTGAGAACATATGCGTTGATATCGTAAGGCTCCTTTCTTTGCAGCAAGGCGTCGCTCGCTCGAGGACCGTATGCGGTCGCAGACGGATGGCTAAGCGAACCCAACTCCTGCGCCGCATCCTACTCAGGACATGTCGACTTCGTGGCGTGCACCAATCATATCGACCAAGAATGCACTCCACGTACTCAAGTCCAAGTTTCGAGGTGCAAAAGTAGCCCTTGCAAAGGCACAGTTTGATTCGGATGAAACGTCTGTGTTCTGCTATGAATTCGAATGTAGAAGTCTCAGACTATCTCACAGCTCGGTAGCTATCCTTTGCTTGCGTTGCTGGTACGCGCTATCAAGTACCTAGGTTTATATCGACATGAGGCGCTGCCAAAGTTGGGCAAGCCGCGATAGTCCCTGCGTAAGGCGCGTTGATGGTTGCTCTGAGCATCGCTGAGCGACTGACTCTTATTTTCCAGCTTCTTCCAACAACCAAAACTGGTGGCCCACTTCGCCATGCTTTGAGCGCCTCACCAGTGGACGACATGGACCACAATCTTTCGCAAGGTGTCTAGCTCCTAGGCTTTTATCCCAGACTCTGTGCCAACCATGGCCCCTGGTGCTTTGAAATGCGCGACAGACTGAAGTGTGCAGAGCTTGTCCTCTGATTGTGCTCGCAATGTATTCCATGAATAGTTCGCCTCTCTCATGTTGTCGAACGCTCTAGCACGATATCCTATGCGGCCGTTGATGGCGATGGTCCTGGCAGCGACGTGCTCTTGTCTTCAACTATAACATGCGATATACATGTTCTTATACCTTGTGATGCGCCTCTGGAAGATCATGATCAAACTGGACACTGCACGACTTACCCATCTTCTTTCACGTTGATTGGGCCATAGTTGTCATCATCTACGGGCGCATTGTCGTACGACTGGTCACCCCCAGCATTGTAGCCGGACTGGTCCATGTGCGAGTCCTGTTCGCCCCCAGCTTGAGCTGGCCAAGAAGATGCAGCATTATGACCATTGTCATGTGTAGAATCTTGAGGCGGCGCGCTCACGGGCTCGGCTTGGGTAGGTTCGGGTTCCGTCTTGGGGGCTGGGGCAGGTGCCGCTGCCGCTGCCGCGGGCTTGGACGTGGGCTCGTCATCGTAGCTAATGCGTTGTTAGTAGATTGTCGCAAACTGCGATCATTCTTTAGTCGCGCTGAGAGCACGTACAGATCATCAAAGATGTCGTCCTCGTAGTTTTCGTCGGCCATGTTGGAGTGTTAGAGAAGAGCTTGTTAGAGAAAACGTGCAAAAGAGAAAGACGTATGAGCGCGCGAAAGTGAGGTCGCGGTTAGTCAGGCGCGATCGTCGGGTTGAATGGAAGGAAGGGAGGTGACAGAAGGAAGAGCCTGACGCTTGAGTGAGGAGATGAGAGCAGAGCAATGGGCAGGCGCGCTAGCATCGGGCTTGGCGTGGCAGGCGCGACGGATACATGCACGAGCCCTACGACATACCAGCCATATGTGTACTGGAGACAATAGCGATATTCTTGGAAGTATATCACTTCGAAAGAGAACGAACACCTTTGGCGCCTAGGAAGGTGTCAGGTACGACCTAAAGGAAACGAGTTTCTTCGTGCTTGCCCGGTAGAGCCATCTGAAGCTTGGGTTCATAGCGGGGCCGCCTCGAGACACAGGACAAGCGTTCACTTGTTCAGAAATGGCCTCTAAGAAGCAGCAGCAGGTTTGTCCCCCCAATCTTGTGCGCAATTCCTTGTTTGCTAACAATCTGCCAGGAAATGGTCCAGGTCGGTTCGTGTCCTTCCAAACCACAAAGAGCGTCATAGTATCCGGGGTAGCTAACATATCGCTTCCCTGCATACAGACCGGTCCTCGTACGTTACTACAGTCCCGTCGCATATGGGTTTCGGGTACTGATATCTCATGCGCAGCTCGGCCTCTCCATTCTGGCGCACAACATCCAACTCCGCTAGCTCACCGCAAAACAAGAAGGTCATCGGCGCATCCTATTCGCATGCCGACATACACAACTTCAGTTCATTGTATGTTGCTTCAAGTGCTGTCATTATGAATACGACTAATTGCTAAAAGGAGCGTCTCTGGATCGAACTCGCGACCCCGAACCCCGCCATCGACCACCCACAGTCGCGAGTCAAGCGCTGCACCGAGCCGGTCCAGTAAGACCGTGTCACCCCGTCCCGCACGAGCAACGTACAGCTACTTCCTCAATGATACCCACCAAGATTGGAACGATGGCGACGAAGACGATCCCGACAACATGTTTGAGGATGACGAGGACGAGTTCGGGCTACCGAGCATCGCAAACATGCGGAGGAAGGGTCGGCGGAAACAACCATCCAAGGCAAAAGAAACAACCGGACATGTTAGTAGAGAAAGCCTGGGCTCAACAGCGTGGCGCGGTATAGACAGTGGTGACATTGCAGAGGAGCGAGGTATACCCAACTACCCAACCGCGAAGAAGATCGAAGGCAAGATCCTACGGCCACAGTATCAAGAGATACTTCGAGACCCCGCAAACTCGCTACATCTTATCTCACATGCTACCCCACCCCCAAACGCGTCAGCTAAACAGGTCGAGGAGCACTCCGCACGGATAACAAGAATCAACAAGTTCAAGAGGATATTGCAAGCGAGCACCATATCATTGTCAGACCTGCGAGACTCGGCATGGTCAGGTGTTCCGTCCGAAGTGCGCGCCATGACATGGCAGATCTTGTTGGGCTACCTACCGACTAGCAGTGAGAGGAGAGTCGCAACACTGGAGCGCAAGCGGAAAGAATACTTGGAGGGGGTGCGGCAGGCTTTCGAACGAGGTACATCTGGCAGTGCTAGCGCCGTCGCCTCCGGGATGGCAGGCGGTGCAGCCTATCCTTCGACGAATCGTGGGCGGGGACGTGGCTTGGACGAAGCTATATGGCATCAAATCAGCATTGACGTGCCTCGGACAAATCCACATCTTGAGCTCTACAGCTACGAAGCGACTCAACGATCCCTTGAGCGGATACTATACGTGTGGGCGATACGGCATCCTGCCTCGGGCTATGTACAGGGCATCAACGACCTGGTCACCCCATTCTGGCAGGTCTTCCTTGGTGCCTATATCTCAGATCCCGATATTGAATTCGGTATGGATCCTGGCCAGCTACCAAAACAAGTTTTGGACGCAGTCGAGGCAGATTCCTTTTGGTGTCTAACCAAGCTTCTTGACGGGATTCAAGATAACTACATCGCACATCAACCAGGTATCCAAAGACAAGTGGCAAGTCTAAGAGATCTTACTACGCGTATCGACGACCAGTTAGCGAGACATCTGCAGAATGAGGGTGTTGAGTTCATACAGTTCAGCTTTCGATGGATGAACTGTCTCCTGATGCGCGAGATATCTGTCAAGAACACGATAAGGATGTGGGACACGTACTTGGTAAGTCACGTAGCCACTCTTTTGGAGCGCATCACTGACTATTTATAGGCCGAAGAAGATGGTTTTTCGTCCTTTCACCTTTATGTCTGCGCCGCGTTTCTCGTCAAATGGTCCGATCAACTGCGAAAGATGGATTTCCAAGAGACGATGATGTTCCTACAATCGTTACCAACGCGACAGTGGACAGAGAAGGACATTGAGCTATTGTTAAGCGAGGCCTTTATTTGGCAAAGTCTTTTTAAAGGCAGTGGCGCACACTTGAAGAACACAAGCTCAAGAGGAAGTGGTGTAGGGATGGGACCGGATTTTTGATCCCGCTGATGTGGCATAGTAGGTATAACAATACCAAAGCGCATCGCCAGCGCCTACCCGAGACCTACCTCTTATCATGACGAGATATGAATAATGCATGCTTGGTTTAGAAGGGCGTGACATCCAGTATTCTACAGCATGCTGGTAATGAAGCTGAATGTTTATGCGAACAACGGTCGTGATTCCCGAACCATATCAATTACCGAGCCAGCGACTACGGAAGCTACCCCGCGCTTTACCCCACTACGCGTCACATAATCCTCGCTGTACATTCAGCCGAAGTATCAGGTCACCAGTCTGGCATGATGCACTCTTGTTCCTTCAAAGACAACACAACATCCAGGTCGAAGACCCGCAGGTTCACCACACACCAAAGATAATCCAGCTCAGCAAAAATCTGACATGTCACCACGCTCTCGCCCTCCATTTCAGGATCTTCCACTCGACAAGAATGGCCCTCCAGGAAACGCATGGGGCCTCTACGGCGCAGACGACGAACTCGGCGCTCTAAACATGATCACACCGTCTGTCGTCAAAGCAGCTGCCCAAGAAATACAAACAGGTGACCGCGTCTCGCTAGACTGGTATCTTAACTTACCTTCTTATCCTTCGTTCAACCGGCCACAATTCTCTTGGAAAATGATGAACAAAGAACATCCAGATGGCACGAAGAGAACAGTCAACGATGATCATCTAGACTTCAACACTCAAGGAAGTAGCCAGTGGGACGGATTCAGACATTACGGATATCAAAGCGCAAAGAGATACTACGGCGGGCGATCACAGCAAGATATCGAGTCGTCGGAAGTCATCGGCATCGATCGTGTGGCTAACTCTGGTGGTATCACTACTCGGGGTATCATCCTGGACTACCCGCGATATCTTGAAAGAAAAGGAAAGAAAGGAGTGTACGCACTAGATGCGAATAGTATTACAGCAGAGGAGTTGGAGGATATGCTCCAAGAAACAGGTATCAAGACGAGAGAAGGTGATATGTTATTGTTACGAACGGGATTCACTCGCGATTACGCCAAGCTAGGCGATGAAGAGAAGAGAGCTATCAGGGATAAGCCGCCGGCGTTCTTGGGCGTGCAGTCGGATAAGCAGTCAGTACAGTGGATTTGGGAAAATGGGTTTGTCGCTGTTGGTAAGGATGCCCATCTCACTTCACCACATCTTATCTCATCTTCATTGCCACTTACGCCACGTTACCCTATCTCTCTATCCAAGACCAACCAACCACGACGTGACATAGACTGATGAATGCGCAGCATCCGACGCTCCTTCTTTTGAAATGGCACCTCTAGTAGGTCCACACAACGCCCCAGGCGGTCTCTGGGCGGGTGAATCCTGGGAAAAGGATATGCAGGGCGGTGGATTATTACACCAGTGGTTGCTGGGTGGCTGGGGTGTCATGATAGGTGAGATGTTTGATCTGGAGCGGTTGTGTGAGAAGAGTGAGGAGTTAGGACGGAGGTCTTGCTTTGTTAGTAGTGTGCCGTTGAAGGTATGTATTACCGATTGCTGAGACTGAGGTGAGAGCTAATCCTTGTGTAGGTACCTGGTGGTGTTGCGAGTCCGCCAAATGCTGTCGCGATCTTCTAATCGAATGTCTCTTCTCGTAGGACACGATTTTGAGAAGAGGTGAGCTACGTAGCTTTGAGGATGAGAAGATGGAAATGGGCTGATGTGGTGTTGTGGTAAAAGGTTTGGCGTGGTACAGTGGTAGCAAAGCCAAGCCGGTGCTTACTCTCATCTCCTCTCCGCTCTCGGAGTTTCCTCCATTGGCAAATGCATGGAATTATAACGAAATTGAACTTTGCGAATCTTTACGGACCGATCTCTACCGTACTTTGAGTTGATACAGGCGCCTTCTCGATGCTCTTCCGCGCTCCTCACAATTGAACCTGGCACCGTCGTCCTACAACAACATCCGAGTCATCGCTTCCTCCCTTATGCAAATCTGTCCCCCCAATCATGAGTTCAGTTGTGAGTATCTCAGCATGCGGGGAACCCGTCGCCCCGAAACCGGGTAAGCAGGACGGGTGGTATATTAGCCAAGACCGTTCGTACCTCATTACAAACGACACCAACATCATCTCGAACGCTTGGAAAGTATATCGCTATGACCAACCTTAGCCGCTTCTTAGATCATCCGCCTCATTCACTACTTTTTTGTTTCAGCTCCATGGGTTCTCGACAGCCGAGGAGATTGGTGTGGCGTTTTTCTCTCCAACATACGCGTTTACTGTGTATGAATTGGATTAGGCGGTTTGCATGTCAGTCATAGTATAAAGTTTGCGTGTCACGTACTGCGTACAACGGCTGAGGGACTTGGATCTGTGATGTTCTGGTGAATCTTTTTAAGGCAGTCGTTCGGGTAAGAAATGCATATATACCGCCCACCCGCTCCTAACTTCTACACTCTACACAAACCAGACGTCCACCAACTTCCTATACCTGTCAACAGTCATCACCATCAAAATGAATTCTTTCATCACCATCATCACTCTCCTTACCGCATTCGCAGTTGCCACTCCGGCCGTGTCCTCTCAGACCAAGGCTTGCACGCGCCCTTGTTTCTCGGAAGCAACAGAGTGTGGTGAGGGCTGGGTATGTCATTGGCTTTTCAATCTAAATGACCATGCGCTAATGCATATTAGGAACCTGTTCACTCTGGTGTAAGTATTTTCGACTTCCTTGCGGCATATTCTATTGGACTAGTGTCTAAGCTGATATTGGTAGGAATGTTGGTTCTGCTGCGAAGTCTAGAGGGCGGTTGGATGAAGCTGCGAAGGACTTGAGGCATCATACGAGGCAGATGAGGAGATGCTCGCGAGCTAGGTGAAGCCAAAGAGGTTAATTACAGAGAATGACTATAGGATGATCTACTCATGCGACACAATCGGGATTAGTTCTAGATGAAAGCAGTAGTATGGCATCATAAGTACAGTCTCTTATAAATACTAGCGTATGATATCTTGACTTCCACTTTCTCCTACTAGCTCTTGCTTTCGTAGTGTCGGCCAAGTGGATTGTAACCGAACAGGTACCCGAAAAGTAGGCCACTCTCGTTTGTTGGTCGCATTTACTGTGTTTGTGAAGAATCTCCGAAGATGATTGTGCGTCAGCCATAAGCTGAGAAGTAGACCCAACACGTGGTTTCGCGCCGGTCTGGAGCACGTTCGTTCAGGCTGTGCCGATTCGAGAACAATGGTTCATCAAAGGGCGCTTTTAGCGGGTAGCGAGCGTATATAGCCCTCCATTCGTCCTTGTTACCTCTTCAATCTAACATCAAATTTTCTTCCTCAACTTAAAACACAAAAGACATAATCAGAATAGCCAACATGAAGACCTTCGTCGTCATTACCCTCCTCACGGCCCTCGCAGTTGCAGGGCCAACTCTGACCCGTCCTACGCAAGCACCGCCAACAGTGCTTGCAACTCCTGAGGCCAGAGTCTGCACGCGTATCTGCGCTTCAGAATCGTTTATTAATTGTGGTGAAGGATGGGTATGGTGATCGAGTTTCGCTACGAGATTGAATATTTGCTAATTAGTGGTAGGAACCTGCGCAACTCGGTGTAAGTAACAATTGGACTTCGGTATCGCAATAATTATTCTGAATACCGAGCTGATGTTTCCAGGATTGCTGGGCTTGCTGCCGGGTTTAAGAGTCTTTACGATGGGTGAACCTGGATGGTGGTCGAACAACGGTCTTGGACGATATTGAAGAGTTTATCGATGATACGGATACGCTGTCGTTACTTTAGAAGCGCGCAAGATTCTAGAAGTGTGCGGAGTAAATAATTTGGGGATGATTGCTTAGTGTGAAGGTTTACTCTTCGACAAATTTTATCTTGCCTAGCTTCAACACCTGCTCTTTCTAGGTCAGCGCCTGCTGATTGTATGCTACTGTTAGGTCATTCTTGCTCAAGCATTAAGAGAACGGTCTCTCGCAAATCCTATGTTGACCGTGTTCATGGTATGAAGTTTGACAACATGGTCGTGTGGAATCCAGCGAGTATTCCTGTGAATACGTCATGCTGCTAGGGCGCATTCTAGAAACATGACTCTGTTTCGTTGCAGAACCAAAAGTCGACTCAAGCATCATCTCTTGTATCTTCGAAGTAACCTCAAGATCTTCGCTAAACCGTATCAAGTCACGTTCCTCGTCATTATGAAGCGAGTTACTCAGCTAGCTACAAGATGAAAGAATCGGGCTGTGTTAAGTAACTTACCCAGGGAGTGCTGCATTCATGGGACTCATTCCATCAGCAGAAAAAACAAAAAAAACATTCCGCAACTTCACTCCGATCATGTGACATTCGCATGAGTCTGTTGGGTTGTTCTACTTCCATGAGTTGGCATTGGAGGTGGTCTGTTAACTCCGCGACCCAATCACCTTTCGACCGCGCATCTCGTCCTAAGTCCGATCACGACGCACCAAAACAGCTGCCGAAAGAGATGCGCAATGTAGTGGCGCAGCTTCTACATGGAAAAGCCAAGATTGCGTAGACTTTTTGTCGCTCGAATTCCCAGTCGGTTGTGGTGTCCTTCTTACGCAGGAATCGTCCGTTGTGCAACGGACCGATCGAAGCACCGGCATTGCTCGTATGGGGAAACTTGCTCCAACAGCGTACCTACCTATTTAGGTAACATCAGGATATATATCTCTTGCAAAGTCGCCAGTACATGCTACAAAAATTCTCAACTTCCTCTTAACGGTGTCACTGTCTTCACTGTCTCCAGTCTCTCCAATAATCATACTCATCTCGTTCATCGTTAGTCATTGTATTCAAGATGGGCTCCCAATTCAGTCAAATGTTCCCACCCGCAGCCAAATTCACCGAATCTTCGCTTCCCAACCTGTACGGAAAAGTCTATGTTGTGACAGGTGCTTCAGCAGGCGTAGGTAAAGAACTCTCCCGCCTCCTCTACTCCTGCAACGGTACCGTATATGTAGCGGCCCGATCCTCTGAGAAAGCCTCTACAGCGATATCCTGGATCAAAGAAGCTTGCCCGCAATCCAAGGGCACATTGCACTATCTCCATCTTGATCTCGACGATCTCCATGGGATCAAAGCGTCTGCAGAGAGCTTTCTCACAAAGGAAACCCGATTAGACGTCCTGTTCAACAATGCAGGCGTTATGAGACCACCGAAGGGCACAACAACGAAACAAGGATACGAACTGCAGCTTGGAACAAATTGCGTCGCGCCCTTTCTCTTCACCAAGTTACTCACGCCCATACTACTTGAGACAGCGAAGAAAGAGCCAGAAGGCAGTGTGAGGGTAGTTTGGGTGAGCTCATCAGCTGCGCATGTCATCGCGCCCGCTGGTGGTGTGGACATGAACAACTTGGATTATAAGACAGATGTCAGTCAGATGACCAAATACGGGATTAGCAAAGCGGGAAATGTGTTTCATGCGATGGAGTTCCAGAGACGGTACCGAAAGCAGGGGGTTGTTAGCGTGGTAATTCACCTTCTTCTCTTTCCTCTGAACTACCCTGCTAACATGCGGAATGATAGGCGCTTAACCCCGGTAACCTCAAATCTGATTTGCAGCGCCATGTACCTGCACTCCAACTTTTCCTCATTAACATGATCTTGCATCCGCCTGTGAATGGCGCGTACACTGAGCTGTTCGCTGGCCTCGCGCCTGATGTTGCGAATCTCAATACGAGTGACTGGGTCGTGCCATTCGGCAGGGTTATGCAGGTGAGGAAGGACTATTATTCCGAAGCTGGTAAGAAGACTGCGAGCGCGTTTTGGGAGTGGAGTGAGAAGCAGGTGGAACAATACGTTTGAAGATTTCAGACCTGTGTGGCCGAGGAGAGGTTTCCTTTGTCCTTTCTCGAGATTATCTGGCGGGTATGGGTGCGTATGTCAGCCGTGCGGTGTTTGTGTAACTAATGAAGTGTACTTTGCATGTTCTTATCGTTATGGGTGGAAATCCGACAATACGACATTTATATGTGCCTGGTTCTTCCACATACGACCATAGGACACTGACCGAAAACTAATTGTCCCTCGCGATCTGTCTGAGGTTACGGTGTCGTTCCGAGGTCAATTTACTGCTTCCGGAAACGCAACTCTGTCACCTTGGCACCCCACCACTACAGCCATAAATGACTATTAACGACCACATGTACTCCTGAGACCTGTCGTCTAGATGTGCGCATGTTCGCGTACTGCGCACATCTGGGGCCTTCTAGAGCTTGGTACTAGCTAAGCCTTGATATGCCGGTCGTGGACCAGGAACTTGAATGCCTCCTCTTCCCGCCCATCGGAAGAAAGGTTTGTAATGCTAGTGGCTTGATTGGTACGCGTGTTGGGAAGAGTGGAGATGTCTCCACACCCCGCAACTCCAACACCGGCGCTTCTCGTCACTCCCGACAACGCTTATATCGCGCGCAGTTGCCTTTCTGCCTTTTCAAAAACATGGGCTAGTTTCCTTAGAGCTCACAAGCATCGTCGTACGTTCGGACTCGTGCTTAGCATACACATGCTAACACCGATGGGGTTACAAAGGCCTGGAGCAACTTGATAAGAGCGCGATGGCCGAGCACGGCTTCTACCCCATGCTCCCGAGAAGAGTTTAGCGACATGGAGCCGGCGTGGACGGAAAACGGGCGACGTCCTAGGTTGGCAGGGGTAACTTGGCCGGAGCTCGTGGGCTAGCGTTCGAAGCGATAGCTATAGGACAGACTGAGACGGCAACATAGTGCAGTATTGAGACTTACACGCGAACCGACAAGGAAGTGATCTTGGCTTTCAACTGCTGAGACTGGTCTCTAAGATGTTTATCGACCACGTCTTTACTCCTCACTTCTCGTGAATATAGATAAGAATGTCCACTCGGCTTATCCTACAAGTTTTGGCGGTTTCATTCATGCTCGATAAGCACGTACTCTACGAGTCGCCGTATAACACCATGTCTAATCAGTCGCGCTACAGACCGGGCCGGTGCAATGCTTATCTGGAGCAAACAAGGGGCACCACCTCCCAGTCACCTTGCCGGTCGATATTCTTGAGCACTCAAGAGTCCTGCATAAAGTGAACGCGTATCATGAACGATGTTCAGTAAAACTTTTGTCATGGATTACTCGCAAACTAAAGACACCAAAGACGCCAAAGTACATGACAAGGAGAATGATGGTGGTGAGGACATTGCGATAGGATCGCAGGAAGAAGTAATCGATTACGACTTTTTGCGATCATGGAAATGGTCGACTTTATATCGGAGCGTGCTGTTCCAGATGGTGATGTTCGGGGCGTAAGTAATCCTCTCAGAGACTACCATCGGGATGCTGAACATGGTCAAGGCTTTCGTTGGTTGGCCCAGCTATGGGTGATGCTATATCCAATCTAGGAGGAGGCGGTCTGTCTACACCATGGCTAGCGAATCTTGCAAATTCGTTGAGCTACGCCATGGGCTTCATCAGTACTATCCTCGGAGGCCCCATCATCAACAGGATAGGAATCAAATGGGCGTGCTTCATTGCGGCTCTTACGATGCCCCTTCAAGGATCTGCGTACTATGTAAACGCTAAATTCGGCATCGACTGGTATCTCATAGCATCCAATGTACTATCATCACTCATTCATACAAGGGAAACATACTGACGGGACTAGGTTATCAATGGTCTAGCAGGCGGGTTTCTTTATGTCGGTGAAACGACGGCCATGTTATGCTACCCAAGGCCAGAAGAAAAGGGGCTATACCTTGGTAAGCATCTGCGTGCATCCTGAAGAATGATCGTTGTAATAACCTACGGCAGGCATCTGGTCGGCTATGCGAAGCTCCGGAAGCTTGATCGGTGGCGCGATAAACTTTTCTACAAACTCGGATAGAGCGTCTGCTGGAGGCATTGCGTGGTCGACATATCTGGTCTTTGTTGCATTCGGTACGTCACAGATACCTAGGCATCTGCTCTGGGTGCACAGTTATTGACAGATAGTAGAATGTACTGGAGTTCTTTGGGCACTGTTGTTGTCCCCTACACCCCGAGTGCGTCGTCGCGATGGCAGCAAAGTCGCCATGTCGGGGAGGGTCACTTGGAAGCAAGAATTCGTTGCTCTGTGGAGTTATCTACAAAGCAATAAGGTCAGGAATGAATCAGTCTCCAAAATTTGGAAAGCACCTAACACGATGCCAGGTCTGGTTGATCTTTCTGCCCTCGTTCTACTCTTTCTTTTACGGAGGGACAATGAGTACCTATCTCTCGCTACACTTTTCGGTCCGCGCACGCGCTCTTTCATCCTTTCTTATTCGTATGTATCGACTCTGGGTCCCGCCAACTATATGCTGACTAGTACAGCCGCCATTACCATTCCGTCGGTCGTCGTATTCGGCAAACTTCTAGACAGCCAGCGGTGGTCCCAACGGCCCAAGGCATGGGCTGCATTCTCGCTGTGGATTCTGCCACAAACTGGTTGTTTCATCTGGGTCGCTTTTGAGTACCACTACCTCGGCGATAAGTCGGCGCTGGATTACGGCTCGTAAGTTATCCCGCAGAGAGGCAGGTTCCAGTGTGACTGAAACTGATTTGAATAACAGAGAATCTGGAAGATGGGCAAGGGCATACGTGCCGTACCTTATCGTCTTCGTGAGCGGCTACTGGACGCAATTGACACTATACTGGATTCTTGGCACATTCTCCAACGACATGGGTGATTCTTCACGGGTAGGAGGCTTGTTTCGCGCGTTTGAGACGGCGGGCCAGGCAGTCTCCTATGGTCTGAGCTCTGCAAGTGGCATCGCTCCTGTGGTTCCGATCTATGTGAACTGTGGTTTGCTGGTTCTTACTGTGCCTAGTATGATCATGTTGATCACTAGGATGCCCAGGAAGCCCTTGAGTAATGTCATCGCTGAATGAAATTTGTATCGTGCGCGATGGGTTTTCACGGAAAGATTGTATACGCGCATGTTGCTGGAGTTTGGGAAAGCGTCTTCGAGGTCCCACCGCAGATAGCAACTATCAAGTCATTCAAGAACATCTATCATGACACATGTTGTGCTCTCATTGCAATACTGTATTCTGCTAATCGAACTGTTTTTCTATACTTGTCCGCATCGCTCCTCTTCTAGCACGCGAACAGCCATTGCTGATGGATATTGTCCAATAGAATTGCCTGATCACCTTGCATCTGATGCACCGTTGTTGGCGAAAGATAAGACTGAAGGGCTTTTGCAGGAGTTCAGATGTTGTCACACAAAAACAAAGCTTCTAAGCCGGATCGTACTGTACTGAACGGGTGTTCGCTTGCTGGCGGCAAAGTCTACTGAGTCCTTGTCGGTGACCGGCCCGGTGACCGGACCGGTCGCAATTGCCTAACGATCACCGCCTTGCGCAGCCACTTGAAGCCAAGGACTAAAGTTCCTGGCTTGCGTATCTTATCCGTCTGATTAAGGTGCGTGAGTTCCCGGGTTGGGTGCAGCAGAAGCGCACCTGCCTTGAGAATGACTAAGCGTGAGTACCTTAATAGCCCACCTTGCACTTGGACAGCCCCGTGAAACTACCACAAATACATGAACATGATTCACAACCTACACCTCCAACATGTCTTTTCCTAGTACTGACGTTAAACCTTTCCCGGTGGCGGATGCTGTTCCCTCCTATTGGAGGAAACAAGTCGGGCCCATCGACAACCATCGCAGCACTGAACATCTTCCCGCGCAGGCTGATGTTGTAATCATTGGTGCGGGATATGCTGGAGCATCGATTGTGCATCACATAATCGAAGAGTGTATGCGTTGCGACCGCCCAATTCCATCAATACTTATCCTTGAGGCACGTGAGGCCTGCTCTGGCGCCACCGGACGTAATGGTACGTATCATATGCTCTTGAGATCCAGTTTCAATCTCGCACGTACTGAGTCTGAGGGGTTAGGCGGTCATTTAAAACCAGATCCTTTGTCAAGAGCGGCCAGCGTACTGGAGACGCACGGGAAAGCGGTCGCGGAGCACGTGGCTACATTCGAGGCTCGCCAGGTCGACGCAATCAAAGAACTTGTTCGGCGTGAACATTGTGATTGTGACTTCGAAGAGACCAGGGTTACAGACGTCTGCTTTTATGAAGCAGGCCGCGATAAAATCAGAGCTGACATCGCGAAAATCGCTAAAGCGGATATCTCAACTGCGAAAGGGATAAAGTTTACTTCGGGCAGCGAAGCAGAAGAGGTGTGTAAGGTCTGGAGATGAAAATCTTGAAATGCTTCGTGGAATCATCTTTTTGGAGCGATCTGACCAAGCCCATAGGTTTCTGGCGTTTGGGGTGCAAAATCTTGCCATACATATAATGCCGCTCGCCTGTGGCCTTACCGACTTGTGGCACACTTGCTAGAAAAAGCGGTGTCTATGGGCGTCAACTTGCAAACAAATACCCCAGTATCGTCCGTCTCGGCAGCCGATGAAAGCACAAAAGATCGTTGGGTCGTGAACACATCGCGTGGCTCCGTCGAGACCAGCACTCTCGTTTATGCTACGAACGGATACACGTCTGCTCTCGTACCGGAGATGAAGGAAAAAGTCGTCCCAGTGAGAGGCATAGTAGCACGCTTGGCGGGCGAGAACGCACCAAAGATGACTGATAGTTATATGATGCGGTTTTCCGACTACGAGTACGACTATATGATTCCTCGACCGGACGGAAGTATCGTCGTTGGTGGCGGAAGGCGCGACTACTACAAAGACTTGGACGAATGGTTTGATGTATCCGACGACAGCAGACTGATGGATGGCGCGCGGAATTACTTTGACGGCTACATGCAACGGCATTTCCGTGGATGGGAGAACAGCGATGTACGCACAGAAGATGTCTGGACTGGAAGTAAGTGTCATCTGCACCAGCGCCCATTATTGAATGTTTCAGAACTGACTGATCTTCTTCCGTGTCAGTTATGGGCTATTCTAACGACGGGTTCCCTTATGTTGGACCAATTTGCGGAAAACCCGGCCAGTATATGTGTGCAGGATTCAGTGGGCACGGTATGCCGCAGATCTTCTTCTGCGCAAAAGCCGTCGCTTCCATGGTCATCACGGGCGATGCAGATGATGTGGATCTCCCTGTGCCGTACCGCATCACCAGGAGTAGATGGTATCAACCCAAAGAACATGTGTCTCTCAAGATGTGGCAACAGATTGCGGAAAGCCAGCCTGCTCAAGCACGGTTGTGACGATGAAATAGAGCGAAGAGTTTGGACCTAGATCGTCCACTTTTGCAATGCGAAATTATCCACTGATTTTCACACGCACTTCGTTAGCCAAAAGAGTTAACCGAACACTCTTTATCGTTCATTTATTGGCGATTCTAGCGTGTGCAGAACGTCATTTCGGTAGCCATGAAAGGCTCTCGAAGAACTCCCTCTCTGTGTTACCATGGTCATCAAAGTTCGAGGTGAAGAACGCCACGCTTCCATCCGAGTTGAGTAGATCGAAATCGAACGGATATCCATCAAGAGATATGTCGCTTGGCATGCTATCCACTGTTGCATCGGCTCTGTTTGGTGTCACCCTTGGGCCTTGCACCGTCGCTGCTTGTGCATTTGCATGTTCGGATGCTAAAGACCCAAAACGAGGGTTCGGGGACCTTTCCGCTTTCTTGTACCAGTTGAGAAGACCGTTGTAGCCCTCTTCAGCCGGATCGTTGGCTTCCGTGGCCACAGGTTTACTTGGTAATGGATTGAACACGTTAAGTCGATGCAGCGCCGCTTCCAGTGTCTCTAGGAGCGACACTTCTGAACGCGCAGAATCGCCCGCAGAAGCCATTTCTCTTATCGCTTGCAGACCTACTTGTAGGGTGCTTGCGAACTCGTTCGTACGGTAACATATGCTATAGGCGATCAAGACCAGCAAGGACGCGCGGCAGGAACTATACTCGGCATAGGACGACTTTGCAAGGCCCATATTGCCCGTCTGCATGATTTGGCATATACTGATAACTTCCTTCGCAGCCGCAACGCAGTCATGGACCAAGAAGTCCCACTGTGAGTGGGACTCTGCTGCTTTCCTCCGGCGTACTTCTGGGGATGCGGCATTGCCGTCATTGGTCCGCGCGTGACGGTGCGCAAGGATGAAGGGTCGTCCGATGAACATGTGCAACAGGCAACACTCCAGTCGAGTATGAATTAACGCGCGGTTTTTTGGTAGCTCTTTCTGGTGGTATGGGGTTGGCAATAATGCACCCCCATGAGGAGGTGACCAAGGCCCTCGCAAATCTGCCTTCATGCGCTTGATACGGTTCAGGATCGCCCCGACTTCGGCGTTTGCACATTTTCGGAGACATGATCTGGCAAGGTATAGTCAGTTGATTGTCTTCTGTTTCTGTGTATTTAGAAAGTCTCAATCTGGACTTACATTTCGTGGAGGAATGCTTCAGCATGCCTTGTGAGCTTGATTGATTCCAAGAGACCTTGAGGATAGAAAGAGTCATCGTTCATAAGGTGTGCTTCAGAGCTCTGAGGTAGGTCTGCATCGATATCGGATTGTACTATGGATATCGGGCGGCCGTGGTATATACCAATCTTTCTAGTAGGTCGAATTCGTCAGCACGGGAATGATGTGGTATCAGAGAGTCAAGAACCGACGAACCTTTCCATGCAGTACACTGTCCACCAAATACGACGCCTGATCTCCTTGGTTCTCGGGTCGAGGACGTTGCGCGAAACCTTTCGATGCATTCCGTTCTGTATGGCCACCTTGATAGCTAAGTTTAGATAGATGTAACTCAGCCCAGATGCATCAATGGGTAAGGAATATAGGCCGAGAAGCAAGAGTACCTGGACGCTGAGCAGCGAACCAGCATGGATGACTTCCGAAAGTAGCTTTGCCACTTGACGGTAAAAGCCGGATCCAATTTCGAGCTCCCAACTGCTTTGAACTTCAGAGTCTGTTGCAGTGCCCGTGCTGGAAGTCTTATGACGATCTGGCGATTCTAAATGGACATATTGGGTTCCGACAGCTAGCACCATCAGTACTACACATATTGCAGTAACATCCTTGGAGCGTAGCGAAACGGGTTTAGTGTATATGTTGTCTAGGGTTTCATCAAACCAGCATCGGTCTACATAGTAGTAGACGCTGGTGGCATGATTGAAGAAGACATTGGTCAAGAAGGTGGCAACAGGACGGGGTGGCATAACAGCAAGGATGTCCGAGATGGAAGTTGAAGTTGGATCTGCCTCACCAACGCGAATGAAATCCGGTACTCGCGTTACGTTTTCTAAATTCTGACAGAGATGGTGAGCAAACAGGAACAGACTAGGCTAGCCGCACATACCTGAACATTGGCTTTGGCCATAAGTTCGTCTATATTGCGCTTGATGTGCATGGAAAAGTTCCAATGGGAGAACTCGCCTGAGTAATCTGCACAGCGACAAAAGGTCTCGTCAGTGTGCTTGAGGGATAACGAAGAGGTTCAAGAAGCACGTACGGACTGTCGTGCCGTCTACTCGGTCAATGGTACAATCCTCGTCTCCAATATCAGGGCTGTCAGACACTTGGACATTCCCCGAAGGTTCGATAGACTCGGAGATGATCTCGTTCTGGTCGCGTGGTGGTGTCGGCGAAGACAGGGAATCGCACATGCGTTGTAGAGAAACGGTATCCATGGCGAGATTGGGAAATTGGTGTTTGACTATGAATTCCATATATCGCATGCGGTCCATCAGCTCACCGAGCGAGTCAGGAAGGCCCGGTCCTCGTTTGTCCACTGCAGCAGGCGCAACATTGTATCTACACGGTCGGCGCAGATGGCGACAGCGCCTACACGGTGTACCATCCTCACATTTCTCTTTGAGACGGCGACACTCATTACACCTATGCGATGCTTGTCAGCCAAGACTATGCCTCGCGTTCTTCGGCGAGACAGTGGTGGGTCTTACGCGCGAACTGCTCGTTGTCGCTCCTCTGCCGCTAGATGACGCTTCTTGGTGGGTCTTGGAGGCTCGACTTCCATAGCTCGAATTGAACAAAACAAGACTAGGTATGAGCTGGAGGGATTGGGTTGGCGGAAGGGTTCTGAGCATACGTCGTGGACTCACAGCTGTCAAGGACACCCACCTATTGAAGCGCGAGCGATAAGACAGCTGAATGACGCGCAATGCAGCGACGTTGAAGCCGTCCAGCTTCCTGCAGGGCGCTCCGCACAAGGCTTATCCATTATGGGTTAGTAGTAGCCCCGGCTTATCACAAACACGCGATACACCGGCTAATTCGCATCACAAGAGATAATGGCGAACATCGGGCAAAATGCTGGAGAGGAATAAGAAAGGGCATGTGGAAATGAACATCCTTTACTGATGTCATTGAGACTTATCTACAATCTCCTGCGCCATTTCCATGAGACCTCCAGCTACCACCTCTAACTTCACGTCACTAAAAACGTCGAGACAAGCTTCCTTCTCGTACACCGAGCTCCACGCTCCACGAAAACCGACTTTTGTGGCTGCTGCGACATCCCACATGTGCGCGGCAGCGAACCATTTCACATCGTTTGCTCCAAGTCGTTTCCATACAGCCTGATAGGCGGGGAGAGCGGGTTTAGCCACGCCTGTATTGTCGCAACTAATGAAATTCTCCAGCGGCATGTCTACACCGGCGTGCTCGAAATAGCCTCTGACCCGTTGCACATCTCCGGTGGTGAAGCACCAGACTGTAAAGCCGTTGTCGCGCAGCAACTGGAACGTCTCCCGACAGCCAGGTCGCAGCTGTAAAGCGGAATAGCCTTCGATGCACTGTTCCCGCTCCTCTTCAGTAGCTATAGCCCGAGGATCGGCGATGCCACAAAGACAGAGAGTCCGGTAGAATAGTCCTCGGAGAATGTCCTTGTAAGGCTTGTAGCTTTCGGAGATGGACAAGAAGGTGAATTCCAGCTCAGCAGCTGTCTGCCAGGTGTACCCGAAGTGTTGCGGTGTTACGTAATGATGGCGAAGTTTTGCACCCAAGACTGAGTCTATGCGTTCGTAGTAGGCGTCGAATGATACGCAGGTGCCGACGACGTCGAAAACTACGTGCTTGAGAGGCTGTGTCATTCTGACTTTCAGTGTGGTATGTAGTAGCTAAGATCAAGGAGTTCGACAGCGGTAGATGCAAGATATGTTGACATGGCATGAGTGACAGACCTGTGGAGAACAGACCCCTGCATCAAGCTCGGTATTCTAATGTCTCGTTATGGTGAGTAGCGGTACTAGTGGATGATAGAAGACCGGCCCGGTCTGATATGACTGCCGCAGCGCTCGGGCCACGTAGTTATCGATCGTGACCGGAGCTCACCCGGTTCTGCCATTGACACATAGGTACCTAGGTACGATAACGATGAGCAGTAGTTTCAGCGAACTCCGGACCGGTATCATCGTTTCTCAAGCTCTAACTTCCTAAGTTGAAGTGATAAGCTCGATGACCGGGCCATGTAGCCGGTCGGTTTTCAAAAGAGCGGTGTTCGATTGCCGATATGAAAACGTATACGGTGTGGATGGCCATGCGAAACGTGCTCTCTGTTCGCTCGTAGAAAGTAATCTGTTATTCTCAATTCCTCGACATGGTTTTACCAGTTATCAACCCTACCAAATCCTATTGGATTGAGGCTGCGAATTCGCCATTGCGCAACTTCCGCTCTAGCGAAGCGTTACCAGAGGAGACCGATGTGGCAATCATCGGCGGTGGTTACGCCGGCGCATCGACAGCTTACTGGATCAATAAAGTTTGTGACCGCACCAAAACGACTTGTCCATTCACCAACTCTGACAGGTGATTAGTACACAGAGAATGCTTCAAGACAGCCTCACGTGACTCTCCTAGAAGCTCGTGAAATTTGCGGAGCTGCCACCGGACGCAATGGTAATAGTACTTGTATCTCGTCCCTTGGAGAAACATCTAACAACGAATAGGAGGACAATTGAGGCCGCATGCTTATTCTCGTTATGTGAAATGGTCGAATCGATTTGGCCCTAATGGTGCCATGGAGCTTATCGAACATGAGATGGCTCATTTGCCGGCATTTAAGAATTTAACTGAGGAAGAAGGTATCGCGGAAGAGGTCTGTCTCAAGTTCGGAGAAACGTTCGATGCTGCCATGACCGATGAGGCCTGGACAAGGCTCAAGGGCGCGCTTGATGCCATGCGGAGGGATCATGGTGACGATCATGAGATCGTCAAAGTATGCAGAGTGATCGAAGATGCACACGAAGCGGAAGAGTTTACACAGATGAAGGGTGCTCTTGCTGCAGTGGTCCATCCTGCAGGGCAAATGTCGGTTCTTCTCAACTGTACTACTCTCTCACGCAGACTTACTAACGTCGTCTCAGATGGCCATACAAATTGGTGCACGCACTTTTGCGCATCGTTCTGCAGAAAGGCAATCTCAATCTGCAAGCTCACACCCCAGTCACGGATGTTTCAGCGCGAGACGCCGAGGGCTGGATCACGGTCAAGACTGAGCGTGGAACCATTCGTGCCAAATCAGTCGTCCACACGACAAACAGATGGGCTTCTCATCTTCTTCCTGAGTTCAGTAATCTTATACTGCCCGACAGAGGAACTATTGCGGCACTAAAAGCGCCTCCGGGATTCATAAAGCATACCGGTGCCCAGCATTGGGATTCAGTTGTCAACGTGAGGCTTACATATGCTCCCTTCACAATCGATCACCTGCTAACAAAGACAGAACTATCATCTCCAACTCCCTCCGCCGTACAACACTATCATCATTGGAGGAGCAAGGCAACTTCTCGTCCACAAGCCGGAAGATTGCTTTCCTAGCGATAAAAACGATCAGCAGATTGCTGGAGCAGCTGCATTCTACGAATCTTGGGGTCCCTCAGATGTTATAGGCTCGCCGGATGCAGTTCCAGCGGAACTCAGCAAGGAAGCCAACGAAGGCGGCTGCTGGACTGGAAGTAAGAGAACGCCATGTCGGTGAACTTGACGTACAGTTGGCTGACTAAACTGTAGTTCAAACCGAATCTGCAGATGATTTTCCATTTGTTGGTACGGTGCCACAGCGGCCGGGCCATTTCATTGCGGCCGGATTCGCGGGACACGGTAAGTCTACTCCATTGCTGAGAATTGCAGATAGGCTAATGAGTAAAGGTATGCCTCGCGTGCTGGGTTCGGCTGCTCACGTCACGCCTCTTGTACTAGAGTCGCTTGGTGTTAAATACAGCCAGCCCCTTGTTGCCGCATCATTTCCTCCACTGCCTCAACCGTTCCGCACTACCGCTGAACGGATTGAAAAACTCCAGGATACGAATCTCAGCGTGCTCGCTGAGGAGTACAAGCAGAGCTGTGGAGAAAGTGCGAAGAAGCCATTTTGCAATACCGCGAGGGTCATGTCTGTGCTTGCGAACCCGTCTTCCTGGGATGGTGGCGACCAGCAGATCATGGCCCAGCCATGATGTGAACGTGTGTGGTTTGGACTGAGACGAGAGTACCAGAGAAAGCATTATAGAAATACCATACTTATCTACATTGTGAAGCAGGGCGCAAACACCAGATGTACGTGTACAGCTTCTTAGCCTCTTTGGCAATGATTGTCTTTCTTTTTGTTCTACGTTCAACCCAACTGATGTTGCCACAATCTCTGATCAATCCACTAATGACTACGTCTCAGCCACCGTCCCCGATGGGGCGCTGGGACGATCTCGTTGGATGCACTTTCTGCTGCAGTTTTCCGCAGTATATCAGACGACAATTAGCTGTTTCTTCCACATACGACCATAGGACACTGAAAATTAGTTCACCCTCACCATCCGTCAAATCTCGCGGTTCCGGGTTGGGGTCAATTAACTGAGGTTCGTCTTCGGTTACCCGTTTCAGGAATCGCGACTCCGTCACCAACTTGCTGCGCACCCCACCAACACAGCCCCAAATAACTCTTAACAGTATTTCAACATGCTGTAACCGTCTCAAGGTGTTCGCTGAGTTAAGGATGGAATGCCGCCAGGATGGGGCTCAACCTGCCGCTGCAGTCCTGCTTCTGCCCCCTCTGCGATCCTGCTCTCTCTGCTCCCTCTGCAATCCTGCTCCCTCTACGATTATCTACGATCATTTTCACCATGGGACCCAAAAAAAAGATTAAAGATCTTTCGCATTTGCACTCTCTTGTTCAGCTCGAGAAGGAGCCGGCCCCGCTTACAGAGGAAGACGTGAAAAATCTGTTGATCCCTTCAAGCTACAAGTCGCACGCGTACACTATGAGCCTCTGGGCAGAGTATGTAGGGCCATTCAAGTTTAGACCATTTACTGACAGGTTAGATTCTCTGCAGACTTCTATGATCACGAAACCTATAACCCTATGTTTGGAAAAGCACCCACCGTGTACCGTATTCAGATGTACCTGCTTTGGCTTGCTGAAACAAGAACCGGTCTGCTAGAGGAGAAAATCACAGACACCACCGTCCGAAACCGCCTGTCGTCACTCAAACGAGCTATCAAGTTATTCACGAGGCACCAGTATAGCTCCGCGGAAAACAAGGATCTCGAGAACTACATTGAGAAAGACCTTGTCCATAAGGGGAAGATTTCAACAGATGCTTATAAGAAGCCAGTCGCCCCTTTGCTCGTTGCTGAAGATTTGATTCAGTTTCTATGGATGTGCGATGAATATCAGTTTACGCACCCACGTGCACGTCTACAGCTAGCTTTCGCTATTATCCTCATGACGTTCACGGGCAGTCGCCCAGGGGAATTCATTGAATCAGAGGCCTGGAAACACAGCAACGAGGGACTCCTGTACGGGGACATCGACCTCGTACGTTATCAAAACGAGACGTACGTTGGCTTCCTTCTTCTCATCAAGCTGCGCAACCGGAAAGGACACCGCAATAATAAGAAGCATTCGTAAGGAAGTACTCTTTGATGGGAAGTCCTATTTTCTAAGACAAACAGGCCTGTGATGCTTCTATACGAAGAGTCTACGCGATGTATGTGCGCAGTCGCACATTTCATGGCGATGGCGCTAGCAGACGGAGTGTTCGCGGACTGTCAGTCCTACCAAGATCTTGCAGCAAAAGAACTACCAACAGGCAGTCAGATGTACACATATCGCTACAAGCCTGAGGTGAAAAAGAGACCTATCCTCCGAAGTATCTGTAACAACGGCGTTGTCTCCGAGAACGATATCCTCACATACAATTGCTTTAACAACATGATCAAGGGTGTAGGTCAGCGGGCTGGTTACAGAGATAGACTGAGTGCATATTGCTTCCGTAGGGGTTATGCTGTAACAATAGAAAGTATGTATCACCAGACGCTATAATGCTATCGTTGGCTGACCATCTGGAAGAGATGTTGTCTCCGATCCAGAGAAGAACGTTGTTAGGCCATTCTTCGGACGAGACGGCCTGTTACTACGTTTCTGGTCTCATCGCCATCGATAGCCAATCAGTAATCTACGGGCGCGAACAAAACACAAAACTCATAAACGAGAACACGTCTATGATGTCGAAGAGAAACCTTCTCGCACCAATGCCTCCTGGATCTCAGCTTACAGATCGTGCCATACCTAAAGTCAAGGAGACTAGTATGAATATCACGGAAGTCGCTTTGGTAGACCGTACTCCAAGCCAAGAGTATGCTTTACGACGGCAATCGCGAAAGCTTGCGTACCGTAAGCAACGCGAGGCTTTCTTTGAGGGGGATCTCGTGGCAGTATCGCCTTCTAGAGAAAGGGTAAACCCTCTACGTTCTCCCTCGCGATATCTGCAAGCTCTGTGGAAGTTTGAGCCTGACCGAAGAGCCATAACAATGCTAATGTACCCTGGTTGCGCCACGGCAGCCGAGGTCGTGGCCGAAAGAAACAAGATCCCGCTCAATGACATACTCGAGCCAATGGTGAAGAACTGTCGTCCAGAGAAGACACGGTATGCCTATGCCTTTGCTTCACCCACTAAAGACGGGTGTTGTAGCGTGTGCGGACGTCAGTTTCATAAGAACAACAAAAGGTAGGCACCAAGCATTTTGTTTTCTGCTTTTACTAACGAAGATAGATCAAGGCCAGACCGGATGAATGAGCACTTACTCCAATGTGCCCGCAAACAACGCATACGGGATGCACAACAACACATGAGAAACCAATTCAACTACATCCATACTTGTGCTTGGAACGACTGCAACTTCAGCTTCCGCTCGAAGTCTTGCGCCATAAACTCTTCTCATGTGACGAGGCATCTCCGAGATGTACGCAGTCGCCAGTGCCTGTGGGACACTTGCCACCAGACTTTCAAGAGTTACGAAATGCTTGCGCATCACATCTCTGACAAACATAGGGTTCCTAACGACTGGACTATGCTTACAAGGATGCATTACTGCTACGAGCACGATGAGTGGTGCCGCTCAGACAGAGTTGCTAACAATCAATCCAAACTGATGAGACTGACTGACTGACTGATTGCTTGGCAGTCAGTTCAGTGTCAGTTTAGAGCTCTCGTCTTATCAGTCAGTTCAGTTTAGAGCTCTTAAACTGA